CTTCAGCAATTATATTGTGTGTTTCTACATGTGATCGTATTTTACTTGAAATAACTGATGTTAAAATTTTATAAATAGTAGGTAAGCAAGTAATTGGTCTATATTGGGATGGTTCCGAGGTGTGTTGATTTTTAGGTAACATAAAGGTGAGGCCCTTAGTTAAAAATTCCGGTGGTTGTTGTTGTCGTAATACTAGTTCTGTTAAGTTTTTGGCTAAAGGCTCATGAAGTACTAAGAGCTTTTTGTACCAAAAGTTGTGGATTTTATCCACACCAGGGGATTTCCAGTTATGTAGTCTATCTGTTATCATTCTAATATCTTCTTTTGTTATTTCATGAAATTCCATTTCTTCTATTGTCTCCCATCTCTTCTTTTCGTCTGCAATCCAATAAGCTTCTACGTTATGCGTTACTTGTGTTTCCCAGATATTTGACCAAAAATGTTCTAATTCTTCTTTACTAGGAATTTCATTTGATGTTAGTTGTACTGTTGTGTCATTAACGCCACTATCTATTTTTGTGTTTAACTTTCGATAAAACATTTTCTCATTGTTAGCAAATAGGTAATTGTCCTGTCTTCTTTGTAATGCGGTTCTATATCTTTTATATCTATTCGATTTGAGTGCTAGTTTTTGCTTTAGGGTGTCAAGGTATTCTTCCGGTGTTTTGTTGTTTGGTTCGTGTCTAGTATGTAGTCTAGTATTATTAAATATGGCAGTTACTCTATCTACTACCTTTTTTGATCTATTGTTGTGTGCAATGTATTGAGTGAGTTTTCCTATATCTGACCTTAACTTACTTATTTGTCTTTCTAGTCTTATTTGCCACGCGGGTTTACGATCTTGTGAATGTCGTTTAGGTCTATCATTATCTTGCAGTTTATATCCTAGCTCGTGTGATATAACTGATGCAGTACAGTAAATCAATGTATGAATATCACTAAGTTTTGAATCAATTGTTATGTATTTTTCTAGTAGACTATTATTAAATATATGAACTAATTTGAGAAGGTGTTTGCTGTATTTTAACTTAGGTAGTTTAGGACGTGCTGAAGGATCCATTCCGGAAAAGAGTAAAATAGCGCTTTGTAATTTTCCATCCAGGTCTAATACTATCGTGTTTTCGTTCCTATTTTCAACCGCAAGAGATTCTACTTCGTTTTCAATTAATAATGTTATAATATCTGTTTGAGTGCTCATGTCTGATGTCGAATGTTGTGTTGATAATGTATGCCCGATGTATAAGTCAGATGTTTGAGATTGATGCTGTGTATGACTTAGTGACCTAGGTACATTAGTTATGGTACCGTGGTTATGAGTGGGAGGATAGTATGAGTGTGGTTGTGAGTTTGTGAAGTCATGTATGAGATTCTGTGAGTGTAAGGGTATGCTATGTTCTATGTTTTCTTCCTCTTGTAGTTTAATTTTTACTTCTTCTTGTAATTTATTTAGAACTTCCGTACTTAATAGTTTATTCCTAACGATAACTCTCCTTTGATCTGCTATCCTTTGTTCCGTAACATTTATTTCTGGGTATTGTTGTATGAATTTTTGATGTAGAAGTGTTCGGTATGTAGTTAGGTCTGTCTCTAATTTGGTGATATAGTAATATGTGCGCATGATAAATGTATTTACTTCAGGTGACCATCTCATGCGCACTCTGGGTTTCCCAGCCTTCGTGGACGCAGGTAAAAAGGTCTCTTGGACCACCTGCGCAACAGCAAAGGTGGGGTTTTCGGCTTCCCTAGACTCTTCGTCCGTTGGAAGAGGTGAAAGTGAAGGTGCATATGATGTTGTACTTGGACTAAATGGTTCAATGATAGATGAAGATGGTGATGAAGGATGTAGTGCTGTAACTTGTTCTTAACTTGTTATTATTATTATTATTATTATGTATGTCTTTACCATTCACGGGACCACAGGGTCCCGGTCATTTGGGAGGCGTACGAGGGGCCGAAGCCAACTGCGCAGAGGCCCTTTAGACAACTTTAATATAAATGTAATGGACACACAAACCGGCGACTATCCCTGTATGCACTATGGAAATGCACCCAAGGACAGTCCCCGGTTAGTGTAGAACTATTGTGAATAATGGAAAAAAAAAGGTAGGGCTATGGATGGGTTGCTGTGGACTGGTAAATTGGGAACTATGGATGACTATGACACCTGCCGAAACAATGTAATTTTTACACGTAAAAATGGCAGGCGGAGACTCGCCAACTCACCGACCGGGCCCCGGGAATGGTTGCTAGATATAGCAACAGAGGGGCAACGAGAATGTGAGTGGCTGAAGGGTTAAGAAACTACCACCGCTTTCTACTCAGATCATCTGCTCCAGCCGAAGCCTCCTGCATCCCTGGCCCACTCGCGACTTACGAATAGTTTCTTACCCTCCGAGCAGGTTCACTGCTCTCGCGACTCCACTCTGGACGGCCAATTAAGGCAAGCCAGAGGTGGGAGACCTGTTCCTTGTCATCTTTCACTCCAGCCAGCCAATTAAGGCAAGCCGGAGAAGAAGGAACGGTGACTTCTCCCTGGAGCACTCGGGATGATGGTAGCCCGCGGGATCGCTAATGCCCGTCACCTCGCCTCAAGGTGCCCTGCAGGCTTATTATTATTATTATTATTATTTTACTTTTTACCGAAAATCACGAACGGGGTCTGGTAAAAATGGGATTACGCGTACGAAGTCGCGGGCAGAAGCTAGTATTAGATAAGTGCCCGACATCTGCACCAAAAAAGGTCAGCATAAATGCCAGACATCTATTGCCTGACTCTTTTTTAAATAAACGTTGCCCCACATTAGGATTTTCTCCTGTGTCGTGGGTGCGTTTACAAACATACAAATGACACCCAGACCCTAAACAACAATCTGTGGATCACACAGTGTTGCTCCGTGCGGGAATCGAACCCGCGACACGTTGCACGGCGGCCGGTTGCCCAGCCACCGCACCAACAGTGCAGTTAATTATATTGCATGTGTAATAATTGAGGTATTTTGCGACTCCATATCAAGCCTTCGCTGTGTATTGATCAGGTATTGTCGCAAGCGTCTTCTAAACGTACCCATTGTATATAGCGTTTAGGCAGAGGAAGGTGACCTATGTTCAGACTCGTGTGTAACTGTAAAAAAAAAGGGTGAGAGTGAGACTATTGCCATATACTGGTCCTCTATATTACTGCGAGAATCTCCGAAAACCTGATAAAACCTACAGTATTATACTCGAACCGGATAATCGAACCCTAAAGACCTCATGCTGGCAGTTGCACTATTGGTCACGAATCAACAAATTTATAAAATGTTTAAAGTACCTAATAAAATAAAAGACAAAATAAATTAGGAAATAGTTTATTTGATGTCTTTCTATTATCATACAAAGTGGCTTACGTATTATACAATTAGATTTCATAATATTATTACTACGTTTATAATATAAGTGGCCCTCCGTATCCATGGATTAGGTTACCGCGATATCTTCAAATAAATACCGTTTTGAATATCTCATCACACATCACAACATTCTTTAATAATATTACATAACCGTCAAAACAACGATAATTATTTTGTCGAATAATTTATAGATCACATACCAACATCACAACGAATATTACGAGAAACAATTCAGGACCGCAGAACCCAACCAACGCACGGATACGGGCGTTCTACTGTTTATTCAGAACTTTTGACACAGTGATTCACTACACCCGTCATACACTACTGAAAAGGATAAAAAATAACATAAAAATAACTTCAAACTAGATCTTATCGTTAACAAGCATTTGATTTATTTATTACTAGAAATAAAACAGTCAGCATTTTAAATTCAAATCTTACCCTAAGGCACTGACAAAAATGATTATGCGCTAGATAAAAAAATATTTATAAATAATAATATAATTCTAAAGAGTAAATAACATTCCTTAAAATTATTAAGAATAGAAAATTGTTAATTCGGCAAATTAAAATTATGATAGGTCTTATATCGGAAAATGGTAGATATTTTATCCATAATACAATCGCACATCATAATGGTCAGTTGTTGCTACACTGGTATTATTTTAAATAACTTTAAAGCTAACTAATAGTTATAAATAAAATATAAAATTTTTCAAGAACATTGCTATCAATATTGCTGAGTCGCCACATGAAATTGATTTTATTTCACATTAGCATAAACATTTAGTGATACATAAATTTAACATAATATCTTTAGATCAGGCAGATAAATACAGGATTGAGTCCATAACTCATTTCGATACACTTTCAAAGTAGAGCACTTACTATAAAATTAAAATATTGCCAATACAGTCCCAAAACTCACTAATACAATTTACAAGGAATCTAGGTTCTAGGTCTCGCAAATTAATAAAAATAGGTTATAGTATGGAATATCTTTAAATTACGCGTTATAATGTATTTGTACGTGTCATTTATTTGCCAGTTACATGTTACACCACATTAGCAAAATATTTTCGTGAGTCACTGGCAGGCAGTCATACAAGCTTCTAATTGAAAAATGCTTGTAATTAAACCTTTGTGTTGAATACCAAGTTTTTAATCCTAAAATATATTAATGAATCTCTGATTCATTTTGTCTTTTTTAGTATCTCAATTGCTGCCAAAAACTTGCTGCCTGGACACTTCACAATACTTAAGTCGTAAACATAAAATTACACCTATCAACTGCATTTTCGAGACAATGTAAGGAGTGCGTGGAGGACGTAATAGCGAAACACAAACTTCTAACATACTATTACACATTCAACTTGTATGAATGATACTGTGTCTATGTAATCGAGTATACATAAATGCTGTAACTTTACATTCTGGACATAAGATTGCGAGTCCCTTAAAATTTTAATGACCAATATCGATATATTGTAACATACATCTGTGTGGCAGCACGACGACGGCGTGTGCGCATCTATGTTACCTGTGCGCTGGCGCACGCATTGGACAGGAATGACACCTCGATACTACGTCGCAACTGGGTACCTCTTGTTATTTCTCTTCGAGCCCCACCTGTAATGGTCCGTTGCTAACATCTACACTGTGTTTGTCAGACAAACCAGCCATAAGTATTTCCTGTAAATAATAATATTTCATTTAACATCACATTGTTTGACCTCATTAACCAATAGAACAACTTTTATTCTGTTGCAAACACTAACCTCGGCAGTTCGTTCTGCATCAGCAAACGTGTGGTTGTGGTTGGATTTCTTCGCCTGATGCAGTTCCTCTTGTAATGAGTCAATTTTATTTTGCATCTGTAGATGTGAAGTAAATATAAAGATATAATTTAGTTGATAACAAATGTAAACCGTCACCAGCGTATGCGCGTTACACTGTTCGACAATCATAATAAGAGAAACACTTATGTAGGTATAGAAGTTATGATAAGAACCCTCTGCCAGAGTATGAAGGAATAAATTAAGAAAACCTAGTTTTATGACCATAAAACTAATCAAGATTTTTTTTATCATTTCAGTAAAATAATATTACAATTAATAATGTTCCTTTTTACAGACTCTTTGTCTAAGAAAGTATAATCGTGTCGTTTCCACCGCGCGGAACTACTGCGGATTAATGGATTGACAAGTTATAACACTGAAGTTAATACCATACTTATACAAAATGTGTTCAATTCAATCACGCATACACTAATTTCTTTGCGCCTGTTGGCTTGGAATGTTGTGTAGAGTTGTTTATACAAGTACAGGTTATGAATATAATGCTTTTATGTATTTTCTATAGTGCATTCTAAGTACTATTATAAAGTCAAGTTGGACAAACAAAAGATATATAATGGTCATCGTGACCTCGACATGAGAACACAAAAGCACACAGAGTGCAAACACAACGATCACTCTTTCTGTACCTCCTCTATGATCGTAGGCAATGACTTTTCAATGCAGGAGTATGCAAACGCCAGAGGTTCCTACGTAAAAATAGCAAACTGCAATAAAATGTTACGCCGTCAGCAGAAAGTTACAATAAAATAAACACTATGGTAATGGAACTAACTTAGGAGCGCACATAATTGAGTAATGCAATTACATGACATTACTTACAATTAAACATTAATTATAGCTCGAAAATTATCCCACATATTTTCAAGTACATGTAAGGCGACTGTCGCGTGCAGAATGAGTAGTCATGTCACAATATTCCATGCGCACTGAATATTAGCAGTGAGGAAAAATAGTCGTGGCCTAGATAGACAGCAAGCTGTAACATGTACTAATGACTGAATATAAGAATGATGTCCTAGCAGTTATAGCAGGTTGGATGGTGCTGTACCTGCATGACAGTGCGCTGCCTGAGATCATCTAGTTCGCGTTGTTTGTCTGCCAACTGCTGCGCCCATCGCTGCTCCTCTAACGTCACATTCTGCTGTAGGCGGCTCAGAACTCCCTCCTGTAAGACCGGACATATTTATATGAAAGCTGAAGAGAATTTCATTTGTAAGTTCACTTTGGTATCTTCAAATCGCCAGAAAAACAGAAGTGTCCATTCCATCCCTTTGAGTACCGTCATTAAAGACACAATTAAAGAACAATAGGTGTGCGGACACCGGTGTCCTCGTGGTGTTTGACAGTTTAATGTTAACGTTGTTCCTAAGGTAGCACTCAGGCCCAAGTGCTAAGTAAGTAGTAGACGGAGGAGATATTGTCTCATTGATGACGAAGAACCTTAAAATAATAAATGTTTGTAAACTAACAGTGTCGTCGATGATCCTCTTGTATTTCTCGACGAGGCTCTGTGACTGTTCATTCTGCTGGATGAGGTCGTTGAGTCGGTCCTGCGCGGCGGAGTCGGCGGAGCGCTGCAGCTGCGCCTGCAGGTTGCTGGCGAAGTCCTGCAGCCAATCGCGGCCCGAGCCCGCGGCCGGCGCCGCGCTGGGACACGCCTTGCGTAATACGCTGGCCACCTCGTTGTACTGCGCCTCTTCTGCTTTCGCGATGGCCTCCTATTTTAAACATTTACTTGTAACAATATGCCAATACAAAGACGTTTCGATGGTATTCACATTAAATTGTAATGATTAATAAAAAACATAAACAAAATAAATTAAAACACAAGTTCTGCATCGTTTTTTTTTCTTTATAATTTATAAACACTTTGGTCCCTTTTTTGTTTATTTTAATTGAAGTATGTATGTATTAAAATACTAAAGCTATTATTACATTTAACATTTATAAGATTATATAGTTTAGAATGAACAAATAGTGCATAAGTAGGTTAGCAACAAAATATACACAACAAAGCGAAGCCGGCCGAAGATGTATGTACATGCGAGTACTCGTGTTACATTGCACACGGCCGCGCGGTGTCGTCCAATGTATATAAAGCGGGCACTTACGCGCAGCGAGTCTTGGGCCGGCATCGCACTTGCCGCTTTCATCTGTAGAGCCTTTTCGGCAGATTGTAACGCCTCCATTACTTTCCAGTTTTTAGTTCGCAACTCCTAAGCAGGACGAGTTAAGTAGCTTTATTAAAATACGTTAAAGATTCAACTTTCCACAACACTGTAAGTAGTGTTAATATTTATATATTGTAAAATCAAACACGGTTATTCTAATAATACGACACTTTGACCATTGAACTAAGAATACCATTCTATAGTATAACAATTCAACAAAAGAAGCTTTAACAAAACCATAACTTTATTCTTTAGTTTTGCATATAACAAAAACACATCACAAGAACCTAAACAAGACATGTAACTGTGATGTATATATATACCGTATATGACTTACGTTGTTCTTGTCCTGGTAGGAGCGCAGTTGTTCCTGCAGACGGGCGACCTGGTCCCGCTGGTCGCGCGAGCTGCGCTGCGCCGCGGCCAGCTCGTCCCGCAGCGACTCCACTATACTCTCCACCTTCGCCAGCTCCGCAGCCTGACACATTATAATATATATTATCATGCGTATATCCCATGCGGTAGGGTAGGTAGATGCATACAAACCCATACACTTTCTCTCACTTCTTTATTGTCATTTAAGTACTTTTTAATTTTTGACCATTTAAAATTCGCCATCAATTTTAAGTAGTCATACAGTGAAACCTGGTTAAGTGAGACATCAAGGGACCTGCAATGTTGTTTCACTTATAGAGGTATTCCACTTACCCAGTGTCTCAGATATACAGGTATAAATAAATATCTGTCTCATTTACAGAGGGTTCCATTAATAAAGGTGGACTTGGAATTACGTGTGGAATTTGTGGGTAGAATAAGAATGAGTAAACAAACAATGTTATCTCAGTTACAGAGGTTTATGCATATAAAATTTACTCGCTGTCTCAGTTATAGAGGTAACTATGATGATAAATCGAAAGAACAAATCCCAGATATAGAGGTTTACCTCGTCCCACTAACAGAGATAGTTCAGTGCCAAAGTGTTGGGACCTCAGCATGAGTTCCAGTTATGGAGGTTTCTCACTTATCCAGGTCCCACTTAACCAAGTTTCACTGTATATTGTTTCTGCGAATACTAATTAATACCAATGTTACATTAGAGATACTTTCAAACTAACCTTAAGCTGATCGTTGGCGGGCAGTCCGTTCTGTGCTGGAGTTGCCTTTAATTGCTTAATTTCAGCTAATTCAGTCTCACGCACAGCTAACTGCTCACGCAGCGACGTTATTTCAGTCGTCAACTGCTCACGCAATGACGCTAGTTCAGTCGTCAACTGCACATTCATAAAGAGAAAATACATTAAGATGAAGATGATTTAAATTTAAATTATTATACAAGAATACAAGTGAATGTTACTGTTAATTTATTATTTTGTAGGTTCACTATATACCTGTTGTTTTTGTTTCTCAGACTCCTCTTTCAACAATTCGAGGTTGTTCTCTGCGATCTGTGCGCGACTCGCCACTTTCTGCACTTCGTTCTGAAGCTCTGCTACAGCTGAAAGTTTATACACACATTACTATCTATAAGACTTGTATCACACAGATACCTTATACTTCATTGGAAAGAAGCGTGTAAAAGACATAATGAATATGAGTAAAGCGTGGGACCTTGTGCGCGCTCTTGTTGCGCGCGCTGCTCGGCGCGCTGCGCGGCGTGTCGCTGCGCGTCGAGGTCTGCGAGCGCGCGGTTGGCGTCCTGCAGCTGCTGCGCCAGGTCGGCGGCGTGCTGCTGCGCCAGCGCGGCCGCGTCGCGCGCCGCCGCCAGCTCCATGGCGCGCTGCCCCGCCTCCAGCGCGTGCGCCTGCAGCTCGCCCTGCAGCGCCGTCAGCTGCGCCACCAGCGCCGCCTCCGACTGCGCACGACACCATTATTACTTAATGAACGTGTCGAGGATGAACACTCGTGCAGAGATCGAAACTAATGATAGTGAGCCAAAATGTTAGTCATGTAATAAGTACTAACCTCCGAGAGTCTCTGGATGTGTAGTTCCATTTGAACTCGAGCGGCTTGCGCCTCGGCCTCCGCGGCCAACTTAGACTGCAGCTATTGAACACAACACAAGCATTAGAAAAATACAACTTGAAAGACTTTTATTCATCTTTTTTTCATTTCGATAATACTTTCACGAAATGGATTTGCTTATCATTCACTGATCCTGTATATAGAATGTACAAAAATGAAATAGTGGTTGTTACCATGAGTTTCTCCTGGCCGAGCTGATGGTTGTCGTCGTGCAGCCTCTGCAGCCTGGCCTGCAGCGTGTGCAGCTCGGCGCGCGCGTTGGCGGCCGCCTGGTCGGCCGCGCGGGCCGTGCCCAACGCACGCGTGCGCTCTGCGTTCAGGGCCGTCCTACAACAACGCACATATTACTTACATTTCTACTTCCCAAATAATTGGTTTCTGTACAATATTAATACTATTAACTCGTCGAGTACCGGTTTTATAGACACAATTAAAGAACAATAGGTCGCGGTCACCGGTGACCGCTTGGTGTTTGACAGTTTAATACTAATATTATAAATCGGAAAGTGAGTTTGTTTGTTTGTTCCGATTTCACGCCGTAACTACTAAACAGATTGCTTTGAATTTTTGCAGACGTAAAGTTAGAAGTCTGGATTAAATAATAGGGGAGGGTTGATATTCCCGAGGGAAAACAAAAGTATTGGTATAGATGGCGCTGTATATAAAGTAGCCTATGTGACAACATAGGCTACTTTTTATCCTTTTGTGACGCGAGCGAAGCCGCGGGTAAAAGCTATAGTTATGTCATTGGATTCTAAACAAGTTTCATTATTCAAACACATATGTCATGATCTCTAATCCTATCAGATAAACTCTCAATAATTGTATGTAATGTTCTCACTTGAAATTATAAAAAAACTACGAAATATTAGGACATATACACAAATAATGATTACACAATAATATTGTCGTTCAATTTCAAATGTTTAATTGTCCCGTTATTTATCGATTGACGCACTAGACGGGTGCTAATATTACCTTCAAACCTCGCCAATTATATGTACTTGTTACAACTGACTGACGTTTCACGACCTTGTGATTTTCACGGCTAATTTTAATAGTTCATTGATTTTAAAACGTTATGAAATACCGGGCCGATTGATAAATTCTAGTTTTACTTTATTCAAGCCTTTATTCAAGAACTTAAGTAATGTAGAAAATTTAGAGGTATATGGTACAGTTAGCGCAGTTTAGGTGAACACTTGCTGCGTAATGCGTTACCGAGTTCGATTCCAACACGAGACAACTCTATGTGATGTGATTTACTATTCAAAAATTAATGTTTATTTTACCTCAGCTCCTTAAGCTTGGCGTGCAGAGCTTGGGAGGCCTCGATCTCATCGGCAAGAGCTTTCTCCTTGTCAGCCAACTGCTTCTTCAACTTCTGCATCGGGTCATTGGGTCCCTGTGGAGAGAATATAAAAGTATTAGTATTCAAAAAGTAATAAATTCAAAATATTAGTATTTCAATATTACAGCTTCAAATAATTCAAATAGTCAAGGCGACTGCAAAGCCTCGTATTTGTTAGCTTTTGTAACTTCTAAATTTCCAATAATAAACAAAGATCTGTTATTATGCACTTGAACATACTATATGGCATATGCATGGCATATTAAGTAATGATGTATTTGTCCTACAAATCTGACAACAAAGTCAAGAGATTATCTACTGAAATACAAAAAAGAAATCATTTTCTGCCAACAAGCAACATATTTGCATAAGGCGTCCTTCCATACGCCTTATGCAAAGTATGGCAAAAAGGTCAAATGTGCCATCAAATTCTTGTTGAGGAAAAGTAGTCATATGTTGTGTTTTTACAACACATTCAATTATTTTATTTTATCACTCTTTCATGATTTTTTTTAAGGGGGGAAAGTCATCGAATGACTGCTCCTGCCTGGGTGATGCGGGAGGGAGTGTCACACTCTTACTGACTAAAAACCACCCCGTTCCTTCTCCTGCACGTCGAGCCGGAGCTCCGGTCACCCGTTAGTTTCTCCGCGACACTCTTTCATGATAAATACTAATTCACAACAGTGGGGGACCAACTAACTTATAAACAACTAGATATGCGATTATATGTAGATCACTATCATACATTGCGTTTCTTGTCTTTCAGGGAAGTACCGACTTTCAAAAACTTGCGGAACTCATAAATATCTTTGAATTACTAAACAATTATGGATAACAAGTCGTGAGTCTGGGTGACATGACGCTGGCATCACAATAACACAGTTAGGACTCCGTCCGATGTTTACCACACAATGGATGAGCTAAATAGTGTCGTGTAATCAATTATAGTGAGTGGCGTCTCGTCGTAACCTGACCTACACTGACCTGGGTATTGTATGAGTACACGGTACATACACATCCACAGTCTCTCATTGAGGTAGGAAGAGAAAGTGAAATACTAAATGAGCATTTAATCTAGCATACGTCTCATACATCATCCACTTACATCTAGATTCCTTTACGCGTGCTGTACATCGAACCAAAGCAGCAAAAGTTTCAAGTAAACCTTAAAAGGTCTTGGATTTAGGTAAAAATTGTGAAATATGGTTGGCGGTTGGTTTTATAACAATGCGCCAGTAGCATGTTCGACATAGGGTTACAAGGGAAACATAATATACAAAACAACTGGTGAAAATGTACAACACATGCTTAAAAACCTCTACCAATCCATTCCGGAAATAAAAGGCATGACATTATGCTTATCTGAACATTCACATTTACACTCACCAAACAATAAGATAACATTATAGTCATAAACTTCAGTAATAAATATAACACAACGTGTTCATGTTGAACTTCATTGTCTTAGAAAATGAATGAAGATAACTTTTGACCTGTTACATGTATCAAGAGTTTACTAAATACTATAAAAAAATGTTGTGAATCACACAAAGAGTTGCTCCGTGCGGGAATCGAACCCGCGACACGATGCGCGGCAGCCAGTTGCCCAGTCACCGCACCAAATGTGTAGTCAGATATTGTAGTATCTGTAGGTGTTATCCCCTCATTAACGATTCATCAGAAAATGGATCAACTGTCATGTATGGTGATGCGGTCGCAGCGAACTACAACGAGACAAAGACCTAAATTGAATTGTATTCAAGTTATTGTAGGCTTTTTTTTTGAGGAGTATAATCATCGAATGACTTCTCCCGCTCAGGTCAGGGCGAGAGGGAATGTCAAACTCTTAATGTCTAAAAAACCACCCCGTTGGGAACCATCGGTGGTGGTCTGATGGCTCCTTTAGGCGCGCGCGAACCCGACACGCCGTACGCTCAGGCCTGGTTCTGGTCGGGCGGCGAGTTACCCGTGCTCGCCGTCCGCAGGCCCGTGCTTACGGTGGCCGGAGATCGTCTCGCGAAGTTATTGTAGGCTTAGGTCCAGCATCGGACTTCTAGTGGATGACTTGATGACAAATATACAAAAAAATCATTTTAATGAAAAGGTAAGGGATGAAAGGACTTAATCTGTATACTGACCTCGGTCCACTCGGAGTGCTCCGGCAGAGGGTCGTGGTGCTTGTTGAGCAGTGCGTCGGTGAGGATCTGTATCTCGGTGCGGGACAGCGCCGCCTCGCGCACGACGCGCACCAGCTCGCCCACGTTCACTCCGCCGCTGTCACCCGCTACTAACCACACACACGCCGCGTCACAACACATTCACAAATAAACACTTCACATCTATTTTTAATTACTTGTAATTTAATGGAAGCGGATTACACATGTTTGCTTTCCTAATTTAATGTCTAAATCTACTTTGCGACCTACTAAAAGGTAGCTCGTAATCGAGAATTTATCGATTACTTTAAATTGTCAGTAAATAGTTGCACAGAATCTGACATCATAATACATGTAACACTTTTGGGGATGTACGAAAACGAAAAGGCGTGATATATGTATTCAGTGAAGGCAAGAACTAACAACACTCACCCATGAGTGAAAGGACATTAGGTTCTGGCTTCTTCTTCTTATTCTTGCCGGGCGGGGAAGAGGCGGGGGCGGGGGCGGGCACGGGCGCGTTGGCTAGGGCTTGCTTCAGCAATTTGTCGGTAGTAAGCTCGCTCGGCTGCGGAGCATTCAGCGGCGGGACAACTTCCTCGCGAGGACTCTCTACCACCTCCTCCGCGGGTTTCTTCTCAATCTTCTTACCTAAAGTTTACCGACAATAAATCAAGATCTTATTATAAAGAGGAAAGATTTGATTGTTTGTTTATATTATTGAAAACTCCGAACCCTCGAGACCAATTGGAAAGCATACTTTTTTTGAGTAACATAGGATATTTTTGTCCCGAATGTGACTTACCCAAAAGAAATCTTATAAACTCGACGCAAGCATAACCGCAAGTGGGAATCTGCTATAAATTATTTTCTTAGCAAAAAGAAAATATTTGTCTCGATAGCAACAGACATTGTGTGCAAAATTACGTCATTTAGAGTTTGTATGTCTGCTCGTATTTAAATAGTTGTGTAAAGTTTATCACCACGGCTATTCACTAGTAATACCACGTATAACATACCTTTGCGTTGTTCCTTGGCTGACTCGCCACTGTTGTGTCGCTCACGAGCGGGCTCTTCCTTGGGGACTTCAACAGGGGTCGGGGGCTTCGCCACAGCCTTTGCGCCCTTAGCTGGCTTTACTGATTTCGTATCTCTCTTCTCTACAGCATCTTCAACTTTCTCTTTCTCTGGCACCTATAAATATACTCGTTACACTATATCCTGCACACCTTCCTACGTCACATGCACCAAAACATTTATGTGAATTATTACAACTTAGTTATAATCATGCGAGTAAACAAACAGTGCATAGTTAGTGATACAGACTTACAAAGTCACGACATTACATAAAATCATACATAAAATAGTGACACAAACATAAAGATCAGCGAACAAGACTAACACGTGTCTAATTATATAAATAAAGAAAACTAACACAAACATAGATAATAATGCAGCTATGAATTAGTCTAGTGATAGTTAGAACGTGGCATTACATCATGCAAACTAAAAGGCATTTTCTATAAAAATCTAAAAATATTGTTTTCCTAATCAATTTTTATTAACAAAATAAATCCAGGACCAGTGATTTATTAACACGTCACGATTCTACTGAATGTAATGACTCCACTACAACATATAACAAGTTAACGAACACAAACACATCATCTCCGACACATATTACGTTCGTAGGGTGTAGACTCACTTTTTCCGCCACAAGTGTTGAATGCATCAACTCAAACTCATCTTTAGGATGCATTTCCTCAAAGTGGTTGGCGACAGTGACTGCGGTGGAGTCTGGCAGCGCACTCGGATCGCTAACGCAACTCGGATCCTCTTTGTTTACCAGTATCGGCTTTACTTTAGGATCCTTGCCGCGTTTGCGGATCTGTACAAATAGTGTCGCACTGTAGTGGACTCGACCGTTCACATTAACCATTAGCTTAATGTACTTACAGATTACAGGCATGCAAGCCCTATATACGAATTATACCCCAGATTTAACTAAATATAATGTTAGTCATCTTAGTATGCATCATTTATACTGAATAGATAGTATGTTCCCAAGCAGACTAAATATTAAACTAGAAGATTTCATTATGGCAGTTGTAAATTGATACTTAATAATTTTTCATTCCCCATTTCTTATACATATTTGAAGGAACAAGAACTCTTTATGACTTTAATTTTAAGTGTCATATCAATTAACAACTATAAAGGGTTATTTTCAAAGAAGTATATTAATATGTTTATCATTTTCAAGTAATCTTTCTTAATCGATATAGTATAACATGTTAATGAAGTTTTAATCAAGTAAAATTAATCTATTCACATGAAATTTCAGCTAGGTCAAATAGGTTACTTTAATTCAAATGTAATTGAAGCCCAATGTATTCTTCATATGATTGTGATAACTCTGAACCTTATCTTTTAAAAACATTAGTGTTTTTAAGATAACATATTTAAACAAAATTCTTGATAAAACCATTTTATTTTTATGAATATCATCATGCAGTGTTACCGACCAAGCAGATAATAATTCGCATGAATGAAGTGATTAAATGAATCAGTAATTGAAATAAATATATATCCAGGACCATATCAACCGTAGCAAATGCGAAAACCACACCATACCTCAACAAAGATGTGCTAAATAATGTTAATGATTACTTAAACCAAAACCTTTACATTTTAAAACTAACATTCTCATTAAGGTTGGACATTGTCTGTGTAAAAATAGAATTCACTAGCAAAAATAAAACAACATATGTGTTCACGCAAGTGTGTTTTTGGCTTTACGCGCAACCGTCGGCCATGACGGCGCGCGGGCGAGCCGCGATCCCCACGCCACTAGCGACGCCGCGTCACTTCACCGAGCTCCGCCATTGCGCGCACACGCAACCCCACGAAATTCATGTATAATTTTTTCCTAATTGTAATATACACGCATAAGTTCACAACGCGAGTTTTATTGAAATATATGAACAAACAATTTTTGGCGACCGTGACAGGACACTTTTCTGTGCGGGAAGCGCAGAAACAGTGAAGATTGAAGAAGTAACGGAAGTACGGACCAGTCGAGGTTGGACGCAGCGGAATCCAGGGCCTGGCAGCAAAGTTACATCGGAAATAAGGTGTGCCCGTTCCTTTATCCTACCTTCTAGACTACCCGTTTCCTATTCTTCATTTGTTGTGAGCATTGTGTGTGATTGCTTAGAGTTTCGGTAGCCGGGTAGCGGCATATCTGGGTGGAGTGGTGGAGTCATTGTTACAGCTAGCTGAAGCGCACATATTCATTCACGCGGATGATTGCCCAGCCTGTAACCCTAAAGTAACTAAAATTGCATCCCATCTAACCGTCTAGTAACTATTTCATTACCATTCTGCATTGAAATTCTAGCCTATACATAACTAACTTGAGTCAATTTCTTCGTAAATTCGCTACACTAGCCTTCGCACTGCATTACAGCGCATGTCATAACCAATTTCAGCTCACGCGCCTACCTACGGGAACTACCTAGAGTACCTAGGTATACGTAGGTAATACATAGTGCGCGCGCCGGCACACGAGGCGAGCGACGCCTGTACCGGACGAACTTCCCCCTCCCCGCGCACCTATCGCCGCGCCCGCGCCCGCGCCTACGCCACGTGTCGAATCTTCGAGACGCGGGGCCTAGGATCCCAACGAGTGGATTGCTGACGCTGGTTTGCAGCTGCTGCATGGGTGATAGCCAGGTTTGAGTGGAGCTAGCAGGTATTTAGCGAATTTTTATTACTATTTTGGTGGCCAGTGTACTTCTGCATTATGTCTGACACGGAGTTAAAAGACTTGAGACGGCAAAGAGGTTCTATAAAAGCTAGACTAACTAGTTTCAAGAAATATTTAGGTAATTTTGAATGTCAGGATCCATCTACAATTACAAAACAACAGTTTTTAGAATTAAAGTTACGATTAACCAAAATAGAATCATTGTTCAATGAATATGATGAAGTGCAAATTAAAATTGAGCTTCTAGATTCCACTGAGGAACTGAACTCAGACAGGGATCTGACAGAAAGCAGTTTCTATAGTCAAATTAGTTTAGCGCAGGAGTTAATATTCAAATTCAATAATTTTCAAAATAGTTTTCAAAGTATTCATTCGGACAGTGAGAAAAGTGAGAATATTAATTGCATCAAATTGCCTACCATTAAATTGCCAAATTTTGATGGTAATTTCAACAAATGGCTTGAGTTCCATGATACATTTAATTCCTTAATTCACAATAATCCTAAACTTAATGATATAAATAAATTCCAATACTTAAAACTATCACTATCGGGTCAAGCAGCTGCTGTAATAGAATCACTGGAGATTTCTGCATGTAATTATACCATAGCTTGGAAATTGATCTGTGATCGTTACCACAATACTAATCAACTAGTACACAACCATCTATTGTCGCTTATGAACATTCCAACCATAAAGAGATCTGCATCAGCGTTAAGAACAATCATTGATCATATTTCGAAGCACCTTCGGGCATTGACCAGTTTGAATGAAAAAACCGAGAATTGGGATACATTAATAATCTTTCTATTCAGTCAAAAATTAGATTTAGTCACCTCCACTAAATGGGAGGAATATAAAAGTAGTTTACCAGACAAACCCAAATTAGATCAGTTTTACAGTTTTCTTAGAAACACTGCCGACATTTTAGAAATGGTAAATGACGCAAGCCACAGTAACAAACATCCTGCCAGCACTCATGCAAAGTTGAATGACAAAGCATCTCGTATAAAGCAGCCTCACAAGATGTTTGTTGCTACAGCTTGCAAAGACAATACAAGTAAATCTAGATCCTGTGTAATATGCGGAAATAACCATTTAATTTACTACTGTGAAAAATTTAATAGTATGACAATAGACGGTAGAAATGCTGAAGTTATTAAACATAAGTTATGTACAAATTGTCTAAGGAGTGGGCATTTCGTTAGTCAATGTACCTCCACTCCATGTAAATTCTGTAAAAGGAAACACAATTCCTTATTGCACAAAGTAAATAATAATATGTCTGGTTCTCATAAGGTAGAACATAACGACAAAGTAAATAACATGTCTGGTTCTAGTAAGGGAGAACATAACGACAATTCTAATGTTACTAACAATGTGTGCAATCCAATTGCACTATCAGCCTGTATCGAAAATCAGGTACTTCTATCAACAGCAATTGTTATATTAAGTAACAAGAAGCAAAGCCATGAGGTCCGTTGTCTATTGGACTGTGGCAGTCAATCCTCCTTCATATCGGAGTCTCTTAAAGCCAAACTAGGTATTAATAGCCAATCGATTAATTCTGTATCTATAACTGGCATTAATAATATGACATGTGCAGCTCTAGAATGCTGTAACATTACTATTAAATCACGTTCTAATTCGTATTGTAAAGATATCAAGGCATTTGTTATACCACAGATAACAAGTACCTTACCTAATTCTAAAGTTGATGTATCAACACTAAACATGCCAAAGAATGTCACACTCGCAGATCCTACATTTTATAACCCTTCGCAAATTGATCTGTTGTTGGGAGCTGATGTTTTTTGGGATGTGATTTGTCCTACTAATCAAATCAAGTTGGGAAATTCTAATCAACCTGTACTACAAAATTCCCAATTTGGCTGGTTAGTAGTGGGACCTATCATGTGTCCTAACTATGTACCAAGTAAGGAAATTCACTGCAATTTCAGTCGAGCCATACAACAACAACTGAAGCAGTTCTGGGAGCTGGAGGAGCTGCCAGAGACATCAAAGCTGACAGCAGAGGAACGTGCGTGCGAGGACCACTTCGTGCAGCACACACGCCGCATGGAGGACGGCAGATTTTGTGTCACGTTGCCTTTGCGCGATAAACCAGAACTATTAGGTGATTCCTATGCTCGGGCCAAGCATTGTTTTCATTCACTAGAAAAGCGATTCAAAAGGCAACCTGACATAAAGGAACAGTATGTAAGCTTTATCAATGAGTATGCTAGCCTAGGTCATTTATCTGTAGTGGAGCGACCTGACCCGGTAAATCTATTACCACATCATCCAGTTCTAAGAGCACAAAGCGAAACGACAAAATGTCGAGTAGTGTTCAATGCTTCTTCGAAAACCGAATCAGGTCTCTCATTGAATGAATTGCTCATGGTAGGGCCTACAGTTCAAGATGACATTTTCTCAATATTGATTAGATTTCGACAGCATACCTATGTATTTACTGGTGACATTGAGAAAATGTACCGTCAAATTCTAGTAGATGAATCTCAGAGATACTTGCAGGTTATTTTGTGGCGTGAAAACGAAGAGGAGCCCATGAAATACTTACAGCTCAATACTGTAACCTATGGAACTTCATCGGCACCCTTTCTAAGTACACGTTGTTTAATCCAGCTAAGCCAAGAGTGTGATGACTTGTTGGTCAAGGAAGTGATGGCACATGACTTCTATGTTGATGACCTCATTACTGGATGTAATGATGAGTCCACTCTGGCAGAAATATATCAAAAGATCATTGTAAAATTAGAATCAGCTTGTTTCAATTTGCGTAAAATTAAAAGTAATTCTAGTAAATTTATAAATTCTATTTCAACCACAAGTAACTCTGAGCAAGAAAACTTAAAGATTATGTCATCACCAGGTCATGCGCTAGGCATAGAATGGAATCCTAACACTGACAAAATTTTGATGGTCTCCTCTAAGCTATATGATTGTAACAATGATACTCCATTTACTAAGCGTTCCATTCTGTCTCTTACTTCTAGTTTATTTGATCCTTTAGGTTTGCTAAGTTGTTGTACTATTGTATGTAAAATAATCTTACAAATGTTATGGTCTCAAAAACTATCTTGGGATGACGAAAGCCCACCTAACATCAATAAAATGTGGAGAAATTTTATTGATAATGTATCTCACTTACAAACTATAGATATACCTAGAAATGTTTGTTGTGCAAATCCTGTGACCATTGAGTTACATTCATTTTCGGATGCCAGCATGAAAGCTTATGCTGGATGTGTGTATGTGAGGTCAACTGATGCTCTAGGCAATTGTACAGTACGGCTACTGTCCGCTAGAGCTAAGGTGGCGCCACTGAAGACTACAACCATACCCAGGTTGGAACTTTGTGGTGCTTTTTTAGTTGCTCGCTTATGCGAGAAAGTTTGTAAATCACTACGTTGTCATATTTCTAAGAAAACATATTGGTCAGATTCTAAAATAGTACTGGGTTGGTTGTGCACGCCTTCTCATAAACTGCAAACTTTTGTTGCTAACCGTGTTGTATCTATCAATGAGCTATGTAATGACAGCAAATGGCTGTATGTCCCTACATCACAGAACCCAGCTGACATAGCCTCTCGTGGTGTTTTCCCACATGAAGTAAAGATGTTGTCACTATGGTGGCAGGGACCTACATTCATTCACGATGGGGAAGAATGTTGGCCAAGTCAAGTAGGTAGCAACGTAACTTATGCAACACTGCCTGAAGTACGTGTAAATGTTGCAGGTGTCAATGAGACACAATCTTCTAACTTTGTAATTGATATTAAAAGATATTCCAGTTTTACGAAATTAAGACGCATTGTTGCATATGTATTTCGTTTCTATAATAATATTAAGAATCCTAGTAATAAGAATAAGCTAATGTTAAGTGTAGAAGAATTAGAATGTGCAGAGAATAAGTTAGTGTATATTGCACAACAAGAAAGTTTTCCAAATTTTGATAAGCAATGTAAAGTAGCTCCACTACTTAGTTTGAGTCCATTTATTGATAAGGATGGATTAATGAGAGTTGGAGGTAGATTGGAAAACTCACAATTTGAATATAATAAGAAGCACCCCGCTCTCATTGATTCTAATCATCACTTTGCAATTTTATTGTTTAATTATTATCATATTTTACACATGCATGCTGGTCCACAACTTCTTCTCTCACTTATTCGTGAAAAGTACTGGTCTATTAGAGGGAGAGCATTAGCTAGAAAGGTTTTTAGAAAATGCATTCTCTGTACTCGTATGAGAGGAGCAGTTGCTAAGCAAATAATGGGTAACTTACCCTCTCCTAGGTTAAGTCCAGGTTATCCATTCGAAGTTACAGGTACTGATTTTGCTGGTCCATTTCTATAGTGATAAGAAGGGTCGTGGAGCTAAACTAAATAAATGTTATTTTTGTGTTTTTGTATGCTTTAAGACTAAGGCTGTACACTTAGAAATAGTAAGTGGTCTCAGTACAGAGGCGTTTATTCTAGCTTTACGTCGTTTTATAAGTAGAAGGGGCAAACCTCTAGAAATATGGTGCGATAATGGTACAAATTTTGTCGGTGCCAGTCGCGAGTTAGGTGCATTTCTAAGATCTAACGGTAACTCTGTGTCAGAGCCTTTTGCAGAAGAAGGCATTAAATTTAAATTTCTACCTGCTTACTCTCCAAACTTTGGGGGTCTGCATGAGGCAGCTGTAAAGTCTGCTAAGTACCACTTGAAAAGGGCCTTGGGTGAATCCCATTTTACTTTTGAAGAGCTCACCACTTTGCTCACTCAAATCGAAGCTATCCTAAACTCACGGCCCCTTTCTCCTCTTTCTACCATCCCTCACGATCTGTCCCCTCTCACCCCAGGGCACTTCCTTATTGGGAGGACGATGACAGCGCTGCCAGCGCCCGATCTGCTGGAAGCCAACCCCAGCAGCCAGCATCGGTACGCGAGGATCGAGCAGGCCAGGCAACACTTCTGGCGTCGATGGAGCCACGAGTACGTCTGCGAGCTACAGCAGCGCACCAAGTGGCAGAAGCGCCACCCTAACCTGGCGCCTGGTCAACTAGTACTTATCAAGCAAGAGGCTACCCCACCTTTGAATTGGCCTCTGGGAAGGATCGAGTCTGTTTACCCAGGTTCCGATGGAGCCTGTCGAGTAGCAGACGTCAGAATTAACAAGGGCATCGTTCGCAGAGCAGTGAGTCGTATCTGCCCTTTATTCGACGACGACCCTTGAAGATTGAAACAGGAGGTTTCAAGGCGCGGGAGGATGTTCACGCAAGTGTGTTTTTGGCTTTACGCGCAACCGTCGGCCATGACGGCGCGCGGGCGAGCCGCGATCCCCACGCCACTAGCGACGCCGCGTCACTTCACCGAGCTCCGCCATTGCGCGCACACGCAACCCCACGAAATTCATGTATAATTTTTTCCTAATTGTAATATACACGCATAAGTTCACAACGCGAGTTTTATTGAAATATATGAACAAACAATATGTATACATACATATACTGCCTGTAGTCATAACTGTACTTGAATTACACAAAAATTGTATAGTGTAATTGCCTGGTTAGTAGTTGTCCTTTTATAGATGAAAATTACTATCCATTGTTTACCTAACATTCTGATAAGTAAATTTGTATAAATTGTACACTATATAGTATTGTATTTGAAGGAGCCTACCTTGACATTAGGAGTGGTGTCCCTGGGCACATCTACCACAACAGCCGAGCTGAACTCAACATGTCCCTTAGGAGCGGGTACAGAGTCATCTTCTACTCCACTCTCAGCGGGTGCCTCACTCTCCTGTTCACTGCCTGTCATCCCCACACTACTCTCCTTGCTCTTCTCCTTCTTCGCTAACTAAAATATTCCTTTTATTATTGCATTGCCACACAACAGAAGAGAGTTACGATGTCTGCATGTCTTTGTTCGGTTTTAAAACCTCGAAATACTTTGCTCGACCTGGGAATCGAACCCTTGCCCGGCAGTCGCACTTGCAACCACTCGGCCAACGAGGCTGTCATTCTTTGATTGAGTACAATGCATATCTAAGATATAATATACTTATTGGATTGGATACAGTTATAATGTAACAGGGTTTTTAAAATATGAACAGCTTGTACTAAATGGTACAAGCATAATGAATTGTATAGACCTGAAAAATAGAACATGTAACAAATGCTAATATTAATAGAAATACCTTTTTATTTGCCTTCTTCTCCTTTTTCTTAGGCTTATTTTTGCTTTCAGCAAGAGCAAGTAGTTCGGTGGTGGCTCGGCGTTGTTGAGCAATTGCCTCTTCATAGCTGGTGCCTGAGGCTGAGAACAGCCCCATAAGGAGCAGCATGGCGAGACCGGCTACCCCCACCCCACACAGCACGAGCAATGCCTGCAGCTCCATTGGATCTGCCGCACACGCCTACCCTACATTCAATATGTTACAATCTAATTATATTAGTCTTATTTGATATTTCCTTGTGAAAGACCAATACACTGCGTATAGTCAACATAATATCAAGTTATTTTACACAGAATAATGCATCTCATTCATCATCCACGGTTCTAGCGGCACGCTCTCAGCGAACAATAGTACAATGTTGATGCAACACTAGCTAACTTATACGAACCCCTGTTTGCTAAAAGAACTTCTTGTGTAGCGCAAGCACTGAGATAACTGTAGTTTTTCACAAAACCACTTGGAATTATGCTAACAAAATGAAGGTATGAGCTGACACGTAAGCAATGACACATGTCAAAGGTTATTGACAGTCCTTTCGCTCAAAAGTATTTTTCTAACTAAAACTGATGAACTGCTAGGGTAACAATCCAATTGGAAAACAACTAGTAGATAGACCAAGGCTTATCTAATATGTTTATCATGTTTAACAACAAGATTAGTAATTTAACAACCAGTTAAAGAAATACAAAATTTAACATCCACCATTTATCACGTACATTTCAGTAAAACGATAAGATAAATTGTATTTACCTGTAATAAATTAAGTCCTCTTTGACAAGGCGTAGTTCTAAAGAGTATTCCTGTTATATCACGAACGTGCACCTTAGTTATAGGGGTCCCTTTGTGAAAGAATAAATTAAGTCTTGAATCAGATTTACTTTCAACTTTTCTTTTTCGGACTCTTGACGACGACGACACCGGAGAACAAACCGGGTACTAACCACAGACTATCTATAGTATACATATCAGTATCACAGACAAAATCTGAAAACCTAGGCTATATGTCACCTATGGTGATACCTTAAAAATTTCATAAATGAGAACAGAGAATATAAGAAGTGATTGTTAGAATTGCGGTCCACGTTCATTTATAGAAAATAATTAAATAAACTATCACTATAAACATAAGACATGCATGGAGCCAACATGGAGCATGCATGGTGCATAAATATAACACAGTTACAATATAACAGAGTTGATGCTAGCAAACTTTACCCTTGCACATTAGTGCCTCTTGAATTTGAATACAGAAAACGGAAAGTAGTCTTATTGGATTTTAACAAGATCCTGAAGTTCGCTTAGAATCAAATATTTTTATTATTAGTGCGAGTTTACGAACGAAAAATAAAAAAAAATTTGTCTTTGCTCAATGCTCACTGACAGACAGAACAGATGTCAGCTTTCATAATCAGTTGCATTTCATCGTAGCAAATTTTTGTCAATTACTTACTTTAATAAACAGCTGTCCTATTTCTATATTCATATTACCACAGTTTTCGATATTATGTAAAAAGTTTTCAATGTTATGTGTTATTTTTGTGAAGTTGTGGCTATACTAATGTAATTTAAAGTGTCTCTGTGAATCCTTGAATAATCTTTTTGTCCAAGAATGTCGATTCCTCCACTCGTTTGCAGTACTCCTCCTCCACCCGACCAGTGCGAAGACGACAAGGATCCTGGGGATTTCGACTTATCGTACAGTTGTTAGTGTTTCTTTGTTACTCATAGTAATCGAATCAGTCATTGTCGTCTGTCTTACGTCGTCAATTTCGTATAAATAATATGTTTATATAATAAACAATTATGTACTACATTTTATTATAAATTAGTGATGGTCAAATAACTATGCGACTTTGAATAACTATTCAAACTACTTTCAATTGAAAACTAGTATGAAACCCAAGAGTACCTATTATAAGTATTATATTAAGTTCAATGCATGCCATTTAGTGTTCCTATTGTTTTATGCTATTGTTCCTAACCAAGTGTCATCAAACAAGTATATTTAATCAAATCAAACCATAAAGAATGTGAGTGTTTTTGATTTTTAATGATATGTTTATCTTTTTCAGTGTCACAAGAGGATGATGATGATGAAGACAATGATTATAACTATGGCAACTTTTCTTCCTTCAACCATTATGGATCTAATGATAAACCACTTCAAATCAACAATCAAGAGGATCCTAAAAGTATAGACAATGACACACACAAAGAAATGTTCATGGAATATCAAATTAGCAAAGAAGCTGAACAAAGTAGCAGTATTAGTCAAATTAGTACCAATGGTGTACATGAAAACAAGTTGAAAGGTGAAGAAGACATGAATATAGAGGATTTAAATTTAAAATTGGAAGAAGAAATTGTTATTAATGTAGTTGAAAATAGTGATGAAAATGAGAATAGTGACCAGAACACTGATAGTATAAAAGATTTAAACATTCCATGTAACTCTAATAATAGCAGCCAGGATGATGATAGCACTAATACCTCCCCTTATGAAAATGTGAATGAACCCACTCCCACAAAGGAAATACTTAGAGATTCAGATGAGGCAGTAGTTGACCAAGTACTACCAGATGACCAGTCTATCGATATAAGTGTAAAGCATGAGAATACCCTTGGAGATACAAAAGAAAAAGAAGTTGATATACCAATCATCACAAATAAGCCCATTGAAGAAGACTGTACTGTAGAAAACTTAAATGAAATTCCAGAAAGCTTTCAACATTCCTTGAATGAATTTGATATTGAATCAAGTGAAAATATGCAAGATGATGAGTTTGGAGACTTTGATGAATTCCAGTTTGTAAATAATAATCCTACAGGTGTTGTTGCTAGTGTTGTTGACAGTTCCAATCCATGGGAGAATAATGAAACTAGTGAAGTGGACTTTGGTAACTTCACAGCTAATTTTGATGACAACAAATCTCCTGTGGAAGACTCAGCTCATACTGAAAATAGAAGTTCACCTAGTGGAGAGCCCCATGAGATTGTGAAAGAGGATGATACCTGTGAAGATGATGATTTTGGGGATTTTGACGACTTCAAATCATCTGCTAAAATGGAATCAAATGAAGAGCAAGGGGAAGATCCATGTCATGAAATGTCAGTACTCAATTTACAGTCAACTGACAATGAACATCATATCATGGAATGTGTGACCAAAGTATTAACTTCAGTATTTGTTGAAGAAATATCAGAACCCAGTGAAGAGTTTGAGGGGAAACTAGAATCATTGCTAAGTGAAACATGGGGACACTTGATGGAAACTGATGAGAGGCAACCATACATTGTGAACTGGAACAACTCTTTAGGACAGAAGACTCTCTTAAAAGCTTTGTGTATAGACTCCAGAAACATTGTGAGTATTTTTTTTAAATTTAAACTTTATATTTAGACATAGATCTATAAACTCATGCCTGTATTCAATTTCATCAAGAATCCACAACTCCAGAATACCACTTGCCACTACTTATAACCTTTCATAAGTAATTGAATTACTTGAATTATAATAAACAACATAACTTTATTTTTATTCCCGAAGGGGTAGGCGGAGGTGCACATTACGGCGCTCAATGACACTGTACAATGGAAAACCCCTTTTTTTACTATTTATGTTATGAGTCCCATGTAATAGGGGGTGAGCCTATTGCCATATACCGGGCCCATTTCCAAACTCCATGCTACTACTGAGATTTTAAAAACCCAGTAATACTTTGCCCGACCCGGGAATCGAACCCGAGACCCCTTGTCCGGCAGTCGCACTTGCGACCACTCGGCCAACGAGGCATAATAAAAACAATAAGGTCCATAATGTCTTACCCACAGTAATTAATTAATATGAATATTATCATTGTTTTACTCTTGTATGTATGGTATGAAAGGAATGTAACTGGGTATTAAAATATGTCGTAGTAGTATAGCTAGATAGAAAAATTAAAAAGATTTTTAAAATATGTCATCAAGTTAAAATTGAAATACATAAAAATTATAATACATTTTCAGCTATTTGGACCAAAATGGAGTAGCCACATGCCAAAATATGCAGCAAACTTAAGTGTGGCGCCTCTTCAACCGCAGAAGCAAGCTGCCGCGCCATCTAATGTTAGTCAGAGTGAAACTATGACTGATAAACCATCAAGCAAGCCCACCACTTGGTCTGACCCATTCTCATCAGAGGGCCAAGAATGTAAGTAGCTGCTCACAGTGTTTTACAAAAATTTACTAACAAAATGACAGTGATTCAACCTCAATTAACATGTAATTGGCACATTATGCAACTCAGTAAAACAACACGCAAGTTTTGCACAGTCCAGTCGAAATGCCAGAGAATAATATTAACATTATGTTTATATAATCAATTGTTATTGAACCAAAATAATGTGAATTCTTGAACAAATTAACAAAGCTTGTCATAATATACTCACAATGGTAATTCTTTTGCATGTCTTGCACTTGGATCAATAACATCCACCTGTATATTGTCTGCTTTATCCTATCCATAGTCACCTATGCCGAAGCCCTTCTCCTTGACCTTGAACACCTAATGGCCACCCTAGACCAAATGGCTCATAACCATTCCACTCTCAAGATATCTGAGTTACTGTCACATGGTAAGTTAGCTATGCCTTCCTTACAGGATTACACTTGGTAAGACTATTTATGTAACTTTTACCTAATTTAATTATAAATTCTTTGTTTACTGGTTAATAATTGACAGTAGATTTTAGACTTTTCTAGTAGAGTTCAGTAGAACGAAACGAAATTATCCCGTTTACAGTATTTTGACATTACGTAATAATTAATCAATGAAATTAGATTTATATTCTATATTATATAAAGTGCCTTATAAACAAACATTTGCATGCCTGGAAAAGGTGGAATACACTGTAGGTACTGTTGTAAATTAGACTAAGATCCATTGTATCACATGTTCCTGCGAATAAATTTCTATTTCTATTACAAATGAAGCGTAGCGTGCTGGTATTTTATGATACGAGAGCATAATAGCATAGGTCCATGAATTATACAAACAGCTTACGAAACATATCCTTGTAAACTTCTCATATGCACAAGACCGATAGAACAAACTGGCTTATAGGTAGTACCTACATATAATAGCGTATGAAGTCTACGTGTCTTATTTCTCTTCAGACCTTATAAATTAGAGTTCTTCATCCTGCATCCTATTGACAAAAAAAATTAAATTAGATCTTTGTTGTGTTCCGTTTTAACTATATTTTCTTGGGCATGTTTATTGTTAATACATAATTATATGTTAATTAGTACTTTCTTACCTGTTTCAGCTTGTAACACAGAACATGAAAGTGCTGGTGGATCCATAACGCCTAGGCCAACAGATTTAGATGTATTTGAAGCTGCTATGTCTACGAAGTCAGAGAAAATATACTCAAGTACATTAAATGTACAACCTATACGACAAATAAATTTACCTGACACTCATATTTTTACGCCGACCGACTCTGAGATACCCAGGTCTAAAACAATACACTACGACCCCAGTCCGACAGTTCTCTTACCGCAGCCGGTTGTACCGGACCCTAAGAACATAGACAACCCTCTTACACCAACTACAAGTCAAATGGTTAAAGCTAATACGGAGGATGACAGCGAATATTGGGAGTTCCAAGACTTCAAGGGCACACCCGAGTCCAGTTCCTTGCCAGGTTTAGTAAGCCAACAGAAAGTACTCGACGAAAGCAATGTGCACACAGCCACGACGGTTAATGCATTGCCCAATCCCAGTGTAGCGTATCAAACGCAGCTATTACAGCCCATTAAGATAGAACCTGCAATGCCTACACTAAACTGGCCTGACCCTGGTGAAGTGAAAGCCACATTTGACGATTTCACAGATTTTGTGTCAATATCAACATCATTACCCGAAACACAAGACTATACTAAACCACAAGACGTAGAATTAGATACTCAGTCGAATACCCTCAAGTCTGATAACTTCAATGATCTCAAAGAGAAAGTGAAAGTAGTTGCAGAAGTGAGCAAACCTGAGAATGAGAGTTTGGATGACGATTTTGATACTTTTCAATCGGCACTACCCTCAAAAGCTACACAGAGCAATAAGTTTAAATCAAACACTTTTGGTGATACTCAAACGCATTTTGAGCAACCAATAGATTTCGATTATGCATCTTCGAAAACTAACCATATGAAGTCTGATACCATATCATTTACGACTATGACAAGACCAAATGAAGCTTTAACAAACAATGTAAGTTACAACTCTCATATACCAGAATCTACGAATAAGATTGCATTGTCTTCAAACACACCAGTACAAACAGGTCTTCTGCAGCCTACACCTGCGAGTTTTGCCCCTGTGAATACACAAAATCAACGAACGACTGGCCAAATATTGCAACCCTTATCATTAGAAAGCTATTCGCAAATAAACTGGCCAAGTCCTGGCATAGATTTGCAGGACTTGTCAAGGTTTAATCCTGTTGAAACTCTACAATCATTGAAAAGCGATTTAAGTGTTAGTGGTCTTAGTAAAGTTGCCTCACCAGTTCACACACAAAAAAGTACAACAGTCAGCCAGCCACCCGATGATGATGTTTGGGGCGACTTTGTATCGAGCAAGCCTAAACAACAACCTTCTCAACCGAAGAAACCGCCAGTTTTTGCGGAAGACGATGAATGGTCAGACTTTATATCTAGCCCGAGTGTAAAATCCCAAAACGGACTAAATACGATAAGTTTAAATGTGCACACTAACTCTAATATTCAAAAAACAGTTCAGAATAAATTTTCAATGAAAAATAACCAGACCCCTGTCGATATTCCGACATTAAATTATATAACTCCGAAATCCAACCCTCACAAGACATACAATGATAAACATTTCCAGAACTTATAACAACACTACACTACAAAATATGTACTAATTTATTAAAACTGTACTTAATGTAATAAGTATTACATGAAATTATAATTATGTATATAGGGTGATGGTGTATAATTTTGTAATATTTCTATTTAATTTTACAAAAGTCAGAATTTATTGTAATTGATTTTGCACTAGATAGTAGCATATTAGGTATTCGTACCCGTTTTAGCTGTTATATTTAGCACTTGCACATGATGCGATTAGAGCAAGAAGAATTGCAGACGAATTATAATTTAACTAGATATACAGAGAGCTCATATTAACTTAATTTGATTCCAATTGTAGTAGCATGCAAGTTTGTATCAAGTCCCGTCCTTAATTATTTTGAATTAGTTTGTCATTAAGTTTTGTCAGTGCAATGGATTAAGCGTTGTATTATTAAATAACGTAAGCCAGTAAAAGCAATATGTAATTATGAAATTATTATTGATTTATCGTATTTGTATATACTTAATGTGAATTACCTATGTATAAATTGTAAATTTGTTTAAAATGTATATGACTACATGGAGAAGGTTTATTTTGTCTGTTAAAGGTTAGCACTGATAGTCTGATATATTAAACTAAAACTGATAAATGATTAGGTTGTACTGTGAGCGAGGCACTAAAAGTATATCAAATCCATATAACATAGACAATATCAGAGCTACAGGATGTCAGAGTATAAGTAAAATATTATTTATTTGCACCAAATATAAATTGAACGAAAGTAATAATAACTGCTATATGTTAATAAAACATAATGAAGGTGTTTATAACCATTTTAGATTCAAATTGGTCCAGTTGTTGGAAGTATATTTTGTCAGTATTTGTAAATCAAGATTAACATACCTATATTTTATTTATAATCAATTAATTTTTCACATAATATTTCTACGAATTATTTAATTATTTTAATGACCAATGTATGTTTCTTGTTTATACTGTGAACAATTGGTTGTAGCTGATTGTTAATAAAGTGTAAATAATGAGACTTATTATCCTTCTAAACTGTGGTTTTATTAATTAATATTAGCTTATTAAAATACTATGTTTCACTTTCCGTATCTGAATGTTCCATATCTTCTATGTGAGTACCAATAACTTCCTTGTCGTCGTCGTCGATGTTTGTAAAGAATTTAGGTAAATTGTTTTCCATAGTAACCCTAAACTGGCATTGTTCAAATTCAGGCCAGGAAATGAATCTAAAAAAGAAAGTTTCCTTATAAGTTTCTTTTGCAAGCACCAATAACTTAGAGAAAAACCTAAAGCCAAATTTAAAAAGAAGAAGAAATTTAAGAATCTGAATAGTAGAGGACTTTTTGATTTTGAAGTTGTTTTATTTGATTAACTAAAAATCGCAGGTTATTCATATGAATATACTGAGAAAAGCTCTACTAGTTTCGAACCACAGAGGGGTTCTTCACGTGAGTAACCTGCGATTTTTAGTTAATTTAGTATGTCTCACGATAGTTTTTATAAAAACATTGTTTTATTTGACTGGCAAATACAAAGGCGTTAAGACAACAGCATAAGCTCGAGCTCACTTTTTAAACACGGTGATCTTTTGCTGTAAGTTTAAATCTCCGAATTCTGTGAAGATGGTCATGTGAGGCAATTCAGCGTCATCTTGGTTTGGGGCTAATTGTTTATTTGTATCTGGAGGATCTTGACCCGTTATTAGCCACACGCCGCAACCAGGTATCCACTGTCTGGAATATGGTAAAACTTTATAAATTACATAAATGTTTGGATGATGTGAATTTTGTATCTTTTGAAACAATAGGGACGATGACTAATTTGTATTTTAATTTCCGTCTGGTAGATTATTTAAAAACATTGACATTTGTATTTTTTATTTTCTTATGGAAACGAATAGTTTCGAAGATGATTTGAAATATCGCATGACGTCACTTTTGATTACGATTTATACTCTAAAATGACGTAGCTACCTGCCACTCCTAAACTGTGATTCGTTTTATTTAAGTATTGTTTTCTTACACGACAAAATAAAAAAATACGTTTAAGTTTTTTTTCATTACCTAACTGACAGACTAATTCGATTTTCATACCCTGTCATCATCCCTATGACTAAATGTGCTAAATTCTCCTAAAAGCAATCAATGTGATTCTTTCTTACTGTAAGATGGCCTCATACATGTAGGAAAGAATTATCAACTGATTTTCACTAGCTCAACCTGAGTGTCTAGGCTTTCATCCATAAGTTCAATAAAAAGAATATGTTTTTGGTTACTCACTCTAACATTGGTATAACTCTTGTTGTCTTGGATAACATGTGTGGTTTGAAGAAATACCAGAGTAGAGGCAAGTACTCTGGTGAACAGGGCAACTTATCCTTTTGCGTAATGTTTACTAGTACTAGTCTGTGTTCATCCATCTGAAGCAACGAAAATCACATCAAAATTGGCAGTGTTACAGACAGGCATTAGTGTCAAACTTTTACTATAATAGTATAATTCTGTTGATTGTTGGTTTGTAGTCAGTATTATTAAACTGTCAAACACCAAGCGGTCACCGGTAACCGCAACCTATTGTTCTTTAATTGTGTCTATAAATACGGTACTCGACGAGTTAAATCCATAAATTATGGATTTAATTATTGGTAATTAGTATACAGTATGTTTCTTGTAAGGTGCCAAGCCACCACTAGCTGGTAGCAGGGTTCCATACCTATTGATTTAACCCTTCCAGCTAATGGCAGCTTGACACCTTACACGAAACACCCTGTATAAACAATCATACTTGCCATTGTTATTTTCTTGCTATCAGGTTTGTGTGTCCATGGTAAAAAGTGTACCTTAGGTACAGTTGTCAGTACTTTGTGATCAAAAAGCATCTGAAACAATGCTGGTACAGATCTGTGCTTCTTCAGCTGCACCTCATTATCTGTAAGGAACTAAAGTATTGAATAAAATTATACTCTGAAATAAATAAAAAATAATTGCATATAGAAAATAAAAATAATACTTCATAGTGGTATCCTGGCATTGTGATGAATAGATCTGGTTTGCCGAGTTGGTTTGTAGTGTTGTGAAATATGATATTATTAATTAAATGTTTCACAAAGGACAACCCGGGCATTGATCCAATTATTTTAACAACTCTACCTGGAATATTTAATAAAAAAAGTCATTATGATTATTTTATAATGGAAGATTTGTCTTTTGAATAAAAAATTTTGTGTGAGTGCTCACTTTTATCATCTGTGCTAAGTTCTCCAAGTAACTCTTCAATTCTGTTTCCCTGGTCTATTTTGTCTTTAAATGCTAATTTCCACATTCCAAAAAAATCTGCTATTTTGAATTTCACTCTACCTGGGTGTAGTTCTTGTAATTTCTGAAATATGGCTAAACTATAATAATGTATGTGTAAACATTAGAAACTAACATTGAGTTCCCCTAATTAATTCATATATATCCCCAAGCGGTCACCAGTGACCGCTCTCCACTAACTATATTATAGACCTTATTTCCAATGTTTAGAGACTACTTTTGTATGAACAAATTTATGGGATGATTTTCAACGGGTTAAGTGAAATTATACTTACACTTAAGTGTGATGAGAACTGGTTTGACATTTCATACATATAAATTGGATTTTTCTGACATTGCAACAGTTCCTCACTTAGATATCCAAAACCTGGGTTGACTTCGATTAAAGGAGAGTCATTATCAATGCTACCTTTAATTGTTTTTACTATTTCTTTTGCAGTTTTTTTGTTAATTAGATACATACTTTCAGGTGTCTTGTATTTTCTTAAGAGTGAATTTGGAATTTTATTTTTAATGTCATTGTACTCGGGAGTACTATTTATATAATTCACTACATCTGTAGCTAGTTTTGGTGGTGGTTTCTCCTTTGGTTGCCGACTTGTCCTTTGACTTAACCTCAAATGGAAATTGAAATTACTTCCCTTGGTAATCAGGTTCAAGCAAGTTTGTGATCTTTGTAACATTTTAGAAGCACTTTTCTACTCTCAGCACTTGGTTCCTTTTTTTGTTTTGATTTAAACTTCAATAGAACTGCTCAACATAACCTCCTAATGCAATGAACAACAATAACAATATTAACAAAGTCAGTGTCCAGTGTCATACTCATTTGTCAGTTGCGAATTCAAATGTCATTTATCAATACAAACGTCAAAACAAAAATGTTTCAACTTAATTCAGAACGGAACGGTTTTATTTTAATTTTCATATTTTTTCAAAGTAAAGGTTTGTTTTTATGAAGCAACAAACGAGCAGACGTATCATCTGACTGTAGGCGCCGCCCATGGACACTCAGAACCAAAGAGTACTTAAATTGTCCCGGTCGACGATGAAATGGCACCAGGTGATTGACAAGGTTCCAACAGTTATCAGAAAAGTATAAAAAAAATCTAAGTCAGAAAGGTTTTTAAATTACAATAACTTATGAATGAGTTATCCACAAAAAAGAATAGCCTGTGCCAGTCTTGACTCTTGTCGCTACAATTCTTTATTTTTTCAGCTGTATTTTTGCGTACCTACGTTATCCTGAATAGTGCTTCCATATTATTGAATCATAAATTCTGAGCCAACCTTTAGTTTAGCCAAGCTTTAGTTTGGAAAATAATGTCGTTTTTTGACCAACCAAGTGTTCTTAATTAATTATTCACGTTAGTATAGGTGACTGTACTGAAAAAAAATTGTACTGCGGTAGTAGTGGCAAATTTCACCAAAGTTGGCGCTTTTATAAGGATTCTAAAATATTTATGATATATATAGAGGTATACCACACCCCACCCTACATTATTTCTTAAACTCGAAACAAAAAAATAATTTTCAAAGAAAACTCCATTTCGAACAATTATTTGAACTTATTAAAAATTATTCTAGTATTTCCAAAACGCATCTAAAAACCTCGTATGCACTAGGTAACACTTTGCACGCGACATGACGTCATCATTATGATGCTAAACAGGAAATCATCATAACGCGCGTTGACGACGTTGGAAATCAAGCCTTAATCCGTTATGCACGTCATATAATCACTGTGCCAACAATGCAAACTTCAAAATACACTTCCGGACACTTGAATCGAGCCACATTACATTCCCGGGCCTATATAAAAGCCCATTACACAAAATTTAAGCAATATAACAAAAAAGTTTTTATGCATTTTTAATGCTGGCATATTTCATCGTCTTTCCCGTATATATTCTTCCAAATTTAATTTAAGATTTTAAAATAAAGAACAAAAGCCGAGTTTGGTCACTGATTTGAAAAAAATAATGGCTGTAATAAAGTTACTTTTGAAGCAATTTAATTTCGATTTTGTTTGAATTTTCGCTATTTTTGTTAACCAAAGTTTAGTTTAGTTTTTTTTCTTTAATTTGAATTGCTTTTGGCTATAAAATTAAAATTATGGATACTTCACCTGAAGTAGCCGCGCAAGCTGTAGCACTTCTTCAATCTGGGCTAAGTCAGCGAGATGTGAGTTCACAACTTCTCATAAGTCGTTCCGCTACATACTCTGGGAGTGTGATCTCTGGCAATATGAACGTAACACTATGTTGAATAATTTAATTGTTTCGTCAGGTGTAGCTTATTATACGGGCCTTGTGGAATCTAGAACAAATTTCCGTGCGTTTAGGCGTTTTTGCCATACCTATTATTGGAAGCAAGTATAACAGCTCACACATAGGACCCACTTAGTTTTTTAGTCAAATTTCCGTGGTGCTTGGCGACTGGGCAGTTCACCCAATTGTACAGTCTCTTCTTTGTGCCTTTAGGCTTAATTCATTCTGTCTCCTGCAGTAATTCACCGAGGGAAGTGGAAACTATATTTTTTTCTTCTCCTCTTATAATATCTTCTGATTCATTTCGTTGCGGGAACCAAGACAGTTACTCATGTCCCTGGGACGCGCCGGACTTCAGTGTTCCGGTGTTTTCATGGTTGTATCTACTGTAGATCCTGGCTTACAGGAGTTGCAGCGGTTTTGGGAGGTTGTGGCGGGCTTGTCCCACAAAAAAAAAAGTCGTTCCGCTGTCCAAAGAGTGTACCATCGATACCTGGAGACTGGCGGCTTCGTTCGGCGAACAGGAGGACCTCGTTACCGGGTGACAACGGCGAGACAAGATCAATACATTGTCACTACCAATTTACGCAATCGACGCCTTACCTCTGTTCAAATACAAGAACAGCTCAGGGACTTTCACGGAGTGGTTGTAAGTGCTCGGACCGTTAGAAGGCGACTCAATGAACGTGGTTTAAAGCCCCATAAGCCAACCAAAGGACCCACATTGACACGAGCACACCGAATAGCCCGTTTAGAGTTTGCGCGCGAACATCTAAATTGGACTCGACATCAATGGAGCCAGGTTCTCTTCACAGATGAGTCCAAGATAATGCTATACGGTAATGACGGAAGGAGTAAGGTGTACCGAAGAGAGAACGAGCGTTTCGCGCAATGTTGTATTGACGAAAGAGTGAGTTATGGTGGAGGATCATAGACTGTCTGGGGAGGAATCTCTATGGAAGGCAAAACTGAGCTAGAGGTAGTAACGGGACCACGACTGCTGCCCCTAGATGGCAATAGATACATTCGCCAATGTTTAGAGAACCACGTGATGCTATATGCTGGATTTATTGGCCAAGATTTCGTTTTAATGCATTATAATGCAAGGGCCCATACTGCGGGAATCGTCAGGCAGTACTTAAATGACATTGGTATCACTGTTATGAGATGGCCAGCGCGAAGTCCTGATATGAATCCTATAGAGCATCTATGGGATGAGCTGAAGAGGCGTGTTCGAGCTCATCATCCTGCCCCGCAAACCACGGAGGAGCTCAAAAATGTAATTTTGGAAGAATGGGAGGACATTCCTCAACATGTCATAACGACATTGATTAATTCTATGCCAAACCGTATGAGAGCGGCCATAAATGCACGGGGAGGCAATACAAGTTACTATATAAACATTTCTTTTCATTTAAAACATTTTTTTATTTAAAAATCGATTAGATTTTTTTCTTTGAAAAAAGCAAATATGGACTTGCTTCAACGTAACTCGACTTTTTTAATAAACTGTAGTTCAAGAACAGTGGCACTCTAAATGAATGTTGATTAAACCCACGTAAACCAGCTCCAAAACTGCATCAAAACATTTTCCTTCTACATAGATTTTTTACAAGTTACAGTACTCCAAACCAAAAAAATCAAGGTGGCTCGATTTAGGTGTCCGGAAGTGTATATAATAAATATTTTCTGACATAGCTGATGTCAAGAGTCCATCGAAACGAAACCGCGTCCGGCGCTCTGATTGGCCGGCTCTAATGAACCAACCATTCAGAGCGCCGAACGCGGACTCGTGTTGATTATGTTAAACGTAAAACAAAGTACTAAACTAAGCATTAAGATCTATATGATATATATGCCCTAAGATACATATGATCTATAGATCTATATGATATTGTATCATAATTGAATAAGTAAGTGAACGTACAGCGCACTTTTTTCATTTTAGTTCGAATGCGAACGACTTAATAAGAAGTAGCTCGATGTTAAGTGTGGCGAAAGACGCGACTATCAGACCATTTGCGGCAAATCGTTCAGGATAGATAGATTGATGGTGATTTCTAACTGTTTAGAAACACCAGTCACCAATAATCACAGTCTTATCTACTTATTATTTGTTAGCATCTTCATATACACAAGATGCATGGCTAGGCACAACATTATTTTCCAGAATCTTCAAACAATGAAGTGGCTATTGCGTGACGGCCTACAAGTTTGCGTGTTATCTTATTGTTGTAAGCTGCACCTTTATATACCTACCTATCTATTTGTGAACGTACCTATACAAAATTAATTAATTAAGGGTAATCATAATCACCTTTGTCCAATGCAGCTGAATTCCTATTCGGGCCCGTGGCAATGTTATCTGAGCCGATAATCACTGGGCCTGTCCGACGTTGATACTTGATATATACGATTTAGTAGCAAAACTTTCATTCAGTAACTAAACATTCATCCACAGTGAGTTGTACTGATTACTAATTAAAAATGTTTGTGTTTTTCACTTTGCTGCAGCTGGCCGTTGCTGCTGTACTTGCATATGTAAGATTCGAGGCTTGTGGTAAGAAAGATGTTCAGTCCTATTGTATTTTTAATCTTCACGATGTCCTTTATGATAAGCGAAGTTTCTAACAATATTAGATTTGATATTATACAATTGGAAAACTTAATTTGTATGCTACAAGATTAGGTGCCTACTTTCAAACTAAATTAATACCTCCCTGCTAGATTTATATTCATACCTACTTATTATTAATATTATAAAAGCAAATATGTGCGTCTGTTTATCCGTCTTTAATGGCAAAATGGAGCAACGAATTGACGTCATTTTCAAGAGAAGATAGTTAAAGAGATGGTACGTGATACAGGCTATAAAATGTCACGTTAAGGTCAATAGGAGCCGAGCAACTAGTGACACCGCGCGGCGGCAGTTAGTTGTTAATAAATCCAATCTGTGAAGAGTAAAAAGAAAGAAATCTATATCAACTCACAAACGCAATTAGCTTTCCGGAGCAGATACATTGTAGGATATGTCATTAGCTTGAACTTAGTAGTATAAAAGAGGTACCTATGTGATTATTGTACCTTATACCTACTCAATGTTAGTAGGTATTTAAAATGTTATAACTAACTGTAGATAGACAATTTCTTATGTTGGAATGTATTTAATGTCGACGATGGTGATGCTAAGGAAGGAACTTACCTAGAAAGAGCTAAGGCAAACAGTTAAATTCGGAAAATAACGGCAAATAGGTATATAGAGTAGATGATTAAGAAACAGTAGGTACTTAAGTATACATGTTTTATATGTAGGTACCTAAGCACATCCCTATTTATTTGTTGATTTTATGACAAAACAAGCAATTATAGCAACTTGATCTTTTTCTTGTTTCCTACAAACGACAAAAATAATTTAGTAGTTTTTTGTAGGTTGGTTTATATTTAAGTACGTGGGTAATTTTCAGTATTCATGTTGATTTGATCTTCTACGGCTTTCTCGAATGGCATTTAGTTTAGCAAAATTGCGTGGTCACCAATAATTTGATGAGTGACTGAGTATGGTAGTTTTTGCCATACTCATAATTCATAATCTATTAATAATATATACGTAATTGCTTAAATCTATCAAATGCGATTTATTACTTTATCACTGATTCATTAATTTAAGTAAAGCGTTACTATCACGTCTTAATGACGTTGCAGTGATTTAAAAAGGAAACTCAGCGATATCGCTAATTCATACAATGCCTTAATGTTCTGTACTCTGTAAAGAGTTCATTTTAGAATTTTCTAGAAAAAAAATGTTGGTATCTCATATTAATTTAATGCTTAGGTACCTATAATATGCACCTATACTTACCGAGCTGTACGTAACAAGACGATAGATTTTAATGTGTGCAGTATGCACCATATAATGCATTAAATTTTTTATTTCACTATCAATGCTATTAGGTTATTCAGGCGTGACTTAATATTAGGTACTATGTATGAAAATTGTAGATTAATCAAGTACTTAGTGATTAGCCATTATCGATGGTCAAAGAATTATTTTAAAGTTGGTCTCTACTTACTACTCGCAAATCGCAACAATGTAACGAGTTGACGATACAGGCAGAACTTTTGTTCTGCATTCATTCTTCCAACAGTTTCAGGTACTTAAATTTTAACATATTTTATGTTCTGTAAAAATATTTATCACAATCTACATCTATAAAAAAATAGGGTTTCGTATTGTTTATTTATAAAACACCTATCTAAGTGGAACAAGCACTGGTTAATTACAAAGACATAGATACATTTCGCACTAACTTTAAAATAGAAACGTATCAGATCTTATCGTGTGCAATATTAGATTTATTTTTATTATTTTATCTTATCGTGCAACGTGTTATTATACCAACAAACTGGCACTGATTTTTAAACTAAATCCAATAGCCTGGTTTACGGAAATTAGTGTGTCAATTCGTCGCGATTACGAAAGGAAATCGGTTAGGTAATTCGTATAATCTCTAATACTGCCTAATACTAAATAATCTAGCATTTGAAGATAATATTTTGCCGCTGTAAGTAATAGATATTTTGTTAATGGACGTTGGTGTTATAAAGAACGATAATTATAAACACATTAAAACATGTGCGTCTGCTGTACCTAGAGGTATACAGGGCGACCGCAGAGTTGATGTTCAAGAGTAAAATTTAGATAGATACTTTATGATGTGCAGTATCCAAATCACCCCATTTATGTTCAATACCTAGGTATTGGCATGGATTCGTTGCAAGGATTAATATATTTAATGGTGACGTTGCAAACTTGCAACCGTCATTTGCCTTGCTAGGTAATAATGCCGATTTGATTGCCCTTAGCTGACATTTACGTAGGTTTATAGATAGTAAGTTACCTACTCACTTATTTTTAATACCGTGTGACCAATCCCTAAAATCAATCATAATTTTATTGATAAATTACCTAAATCACTTTTAAGTGCTGTAGCCATTATTGTAGGAAAATAAAACCCAAAATATACTTCGTCGACTTTAGGAATTAACAATAAATTAATTCCAAAAGGTACGTTAATTAAGTTAAGATTAGATAGAAAAAACCAATCCGACTTTTCACTGCACTGATACTGTAATTAATACCGGATGCTAGTACATTTCTGATGTAATTAGAGCCTTATTCTTTATTATTTAAAGTATAATTTCACGTTTAAGGATTTTTTGTGCCGTACTTATAGTACACGGCTTATTTATTGCTTACCTTTACCTCTACCACAGAATACTTCCTCAACTCCGTCCGTCCATAATTGTTGCAGGGAATAGTGGAACTTAACTTATTACCTAAATTTTGTATCTAATTGCTTCAATCCAACTGAACACATCGGAGGTTTGAGCTCGAGAGCTTGCAGGACATCCACAGCTCCAAATTTATAAGTGCGTTATTGGCCTTTTCGGGGTTTAGGCCTCCGGTAAACTGACTTACACTTACCCACACGGCGAAACATAACACAAAAGCTTTTTACACCAGTTTTCTGTGAGACATCTCTTTAGTTGATTTATGTTAAAGCGTGGCTCTTCTATGTGACTACCTCGTGAAAGCAATGCCTTTTTCATCAACCTCTCTTAAATTTTAAAGCTAGGCTAAGCTGCCTAGACTAGTAGAAGTAGATATGACGCTTACCGACATTTTGGTATCTAGAGCCCACATGAGGTTATGATAGAACGTAGGTATCCAAAATAATTCTTGATAAAAATAATCTCTCAGATTCTTGTATTTAAAATGGTACGGTAGGTATATACCTCTGATACCCAATACCATATCCAGCGCCGTAAATAGGGCGGTGCCAGCGGTGCCCAGGCACAGGGCGCAGACCCTGGAGGGGCGCAGAAATGACCAGACTGTACTATCTAAATCTGTATCGCATTTTTAAACGATCTTGAATCAACAACACATGTCAAACGACATCAGACAAATGTATATTCACCTTAAGTCTTGCTCGCAATATTACTACTTTGGGCTACTTTATACTTTGGGCGTCTGTGCTCGCGGCACCTGCGCCCGTGGCGCCTGCGCCCGCGGGGCGAAACAAAAAAAGGAGAGGCACTCCATCCCGGCAGGCTGGAGTTGCAGCAGCGGCGGTGGAACCCGCCCCGCGAGCGGAGGACGGCGGTGGGTGGCAAATCACTGGTGAGGCGAGGAGAGTCGCCAAGGAGGGCCGTAAGCGCCGCAAGAAGGCGCAGCGGCAGCGACGGCAGCAGCAGCGCAGGGAGAAACGGGCTGCTGCCTTGCTCCTCGCCCCTAGGACCGCGGCTATAGTAATTACGTCATGGAGGAGGTGGAGACGTACTCCAACCACCGGTATATCCGGTTCGACGTCTCCGCCGAGTCCGCGGACCCGCCGGTCAGACAGGCCCCATGTGGCCCGCGTTGGGCGCTGAAACAGCTGGACTGGGAGTTGCTCCTGGAAGCCGCTATCGTGCAGGCCTGGGTGATACCACCAGGCCTGTCGACATTGACGATGAGGCCAAAAGGTTCCAGGACGCCATGTCCAGGATTTGTGACGTGGCGATGCCCCGGATCCGATCGAGGCAACAAAAGCGCCAGGTGTACTGTGGTCGCAAGAGCTGGCAGCTCTACGCAATGCAAGCACTGCTGCGTGACGCCAGTACACTAGGCACCGCAGGCGCTGCATCCGTCCTCCGAATGCGGAGGCAAGAGAGGCGGAGTTGTACGAGGGATACAGGGTGGCGAAGGCCGTCCTCAAGGCGGAAATACTGCGGGCCAAGGAGGAGGCCCGCCGTGGTATGCTGGGGACTCTGAACAGAGACCCGTGGGGACGCCAGTACCGGATGGTACGCGACAAGCTCCGCGCTTGGGCTTCCCCGCTCACTCAGAGTCTCCGGTCAGAAGTCTTAGAGGAGGTGATTGGCGCCCTGTTCCCCCGACTGTGGAGGGGCTTCACCCCTCCGTATATGATTCCGCCCCCTGCGGTGCCCAACGCGGGCTATAGCGACGACAACGACGACATCGTCTCAGAGGTGACCGAGGCAGAACTGAGAGCGGCGGTGAGCCGGATGGGCGCCAAGAACACCGCCCCAGGACCCGACGGCTTGCATGGCAAAGCATGGGTCCTGGCCTCAGAGGCTCTCGGGCCTCGATTAATCGGTCTTTACAGCGCATGCTTGGAGAGAGGCCAGTTCCCGCTGCTCTGGAAAACGGGTAAACTGGTCCTCGTGCGGAAGACGGGGCGCCCTGCGGACTCTCCGGCCGCGTACCGGCCAATAGTGCTGCTCGACGAGGTGGGGAAAGTCTTCGAAAGAATAATTTCGAACCGCCTCGTCGCGCACTTGACGGACATTGGGCCGGACCTGTCGGACGGCCAGTTCGGCTTCCGCAGAGGGCGCTCCACGGTGGACGCCATCATGCGCGTTAGGGACCGGACGACGGGACCTGCAGTGTCCAGGGGTAAGGTCGTTGTGGCGGTGTCTCTGGACATCGCCAACGCCTTCAACTCCCTGCCCTGGAGCTGCATCTTGGAGGCACTCCGATATCATCGGGTGCCTACCTACCTCCGTCATGTAATCGAGGCTTACCTGACGGACAGGTCCGTCATTTACCCCGGTCACCGGGGCGAGTGGAACCGGCGAGAGATGTCACAGAGGTGTTCCAGAGGGTTCGGTTCTGGGGCCGCTCCTGTGAAACATCGGCTATGACTGGGTGCTGCGCACCGACCTCCCGAACGGCGTTAGCATCATATGCTACGCCAAAGACACGCTGGTGCTAGCGCACGGGAGGTTGCACCAGGCGGCGGCCGACTCAATGGCGACAGCGGTTGCGACAGTTTTGAGAGAATCCGGCAATTGGGACTCGAGGTGGCGCTCCACAAGTTCGAGGCTATGTGTTTTCATGGCCGCGGGAATGCGCCACCTCCGGGTGAGTCCCAAATAACGGCGGGAGAGGTTACCATTGGCGTCGAGACGACGATGAAGTAGGTACCTGGGACTCGTCCTCGACAGTCGGTGGAACTTCGTGGAGCACTTCCGACGTTTGGCTCCAAAGTTGGAGAGGACGGGGGCTGCGTTTAAGCGCATCCTCCCCAACCTCGGGGGGCTAAACGCCTCCTGCCGGAGGTTACACGCCGGGGTCTACGGGGTCTCTACGGCGCCCCTGTGTGGGCGCCGAACCTGATGCGGCGGCCCGCTCGGGCGCTGCTCATGTCACAGAGGGTCATGGCGATCCGAATGATCCGTGGATACCGCACGATCTCTGGGAAGGCGGCGAACCTCCTTGCCGGATTACCGCCGTGGGATCTGGAGGCGAAGGTGCTCGCGCGCGTGTATCGCATGCGCGCGGGGGCACGTCGCCGGGGCGAAACTCCGCTGCCGTGCCAGATAAGTGCGTGGCGGGAAGAGCTCCGGCGCGATCTCATGGCGGAATGGCAGCAACGAATTGTCTTAAAACATCTACTAAGTACCGACCTATAACTTGGTACACAATAAACAGTTATATTTTCATGCACATTTGTCCATTTTATTGTCAGAGCCTGGTAAAAACATTTTTCAAGGGCGCAGTTTTGAAAGCTCGCACCGGGCGCCTATAAGGCTAGTTACGGCACTGACCATATCCAACGTTGTTTGTACTGGGTATGGTAGGATACTACAAACTGGAGGTGAGTCGTGAAGAAGCTCTAGCTCCTTATTTATTTAAGGTGTTGCGAGGTATAACGCACCACCCTGCCCTATTGGAGGAATTACGGCTGTGTGTTCCGGACGAGTACGTGCGGTGTAGGCGGCGGCCGCGGCTGCTGGTGGTACCGTGCGCACGCACGAACCTCTTGCAGAAGGCACCAATGACGCGAGCGTTGCGCATATTGAATGCAATAGCGGACAGTAGGTACGGATATATTCTCGCGTACACTCAAGGAGTACCTATCTTCCTATAAATAAACCAGCAGTGGACATGCTGTGTCTTGTCACGATATAGGTATAACAGAACAAGGGACAGGGATACCTTTGTTAGAAAATCTTTCAATCTGTCCTACTAATAAAATATTAGTGTTATTTATTTGTTTATTAAATTATCGGTGTTATCATTTCTTTAGATGCCATGTACGATCTGACTGCAGTTCAAATTGACGGTTGCGATGAAAGGATCCCTTGTTACGTGACAATAGGGCAAAACGTGTCGATCACTCTGTATTTTCATGCCGGTAAGTCAGTTACAGAATTGTAAATTTTTGTATATTTAAAACACAGGTTAGTTAAGTTAGTACCTACCTATTAGTTCTATTAAAATTAAACACTAATTAACATCTCAGTCAGCAGTCAGTTTAGACTTGTAAATACTGCAACTGTGGTCAGTTTAGTCTACATTTATTACTAAGTAAGTAATGTGTGAGAGCAATATCTACATTACTCTAAGAGACTGGCTAATTATTTCAAATATTTTATTTTATGTTACCTTGACGAGACATCTATAGTTAATTATGAAATGTGTTATTTTTTCACACTTTTTGCAACCTATGACAGTGTGATTATTCTTACAGATTATTTATACCAAAACTTGGACCAAGACGCTTGGATGGACATAAATGATGTTGTTTCACCAGCAGAAGTTAGTCCTGGTAAGTCCTGTTAACTGGCAGATTGCTATGAAAAGAGAAAAGAAGGCCCATTTCACGTTGCCTGATTGCATTTCAGTTAGCTTAATAATATACTACACATCATTTTGTATGGAAAACAATCCTCAACCCAAACCTTCGTCAAGTTATCTACAAGTATCATTAAAAAGTCATTAGGTAAACCAAGGCATTACACATTTCAAACATCATACATTTTAAAGAAAGGGAGAAATAAATCCTTAATTAATTGACAAATTTTACAGATGGTAGAATAATTTAAAAAAAAAATAATAAAAATACGTTAGGACTCAACCTTTAGCAATTCCCTTTAGGACCCAATTAGACAAATTATCGCGCAAATGGCGACCATGCCACTTCTTTCTTTCTAAACCAATTAAAATTTATTGAGTTCCTGATATACATATTTACTTACTTATACTTAGACACCCGATCGATTCTGATGCATTCTGCCAGAAATCATTATTCTACGCGGACGAAGTCGCGGGCCACAGCTAGTTAATAATAATATCAAATGAGCGTTCTGCGCTGCGGGCTGTACAGTACCTACTCTATGATATCTACTATATAATATTATTATTATAGGAAACTTACCGCTTTTAGATTACCTAAGTGGAAATTCCTACTTGTGGGACATTCAGGAACTAAGTACTGAGTCGTTGATACGAACAAAATAATGTTGTTTTTCTTTTTTTTATGATTGTCGAGCTTCAAGACACATTGGAATATAAATAATCGTATTCAAGTACTAAGAGATGCCTACTTGTTAACCATGTAGTGTCTTTATGCTAATGCAGTATTTGATACAAAAAAAATTATAAGTGCATGAACAATGCTGTGGTTGCCTCACCACAAACTTTGCTGTGTCTGTGAATAAGTAGCTAGTAGGTATGTTACTCTATATATGTATATATGCAATCGATTAAACATTTTCCTTGTTTCTGAGAAATTACTGACGTTATTGTGATAATGTGAAGGCTATAAATAATTGTGAGGTATAATTATGTCTCCACAAAATTGCAATCTTGAAAACTTCCAAGCGCCATGTTCCGGCACAGAGGTTCAGATTAATAAATAGTTAGACAATATGTAGACATGCACCTTAGTTAGTACCTAATTACATAAGAAGGTAAAGAACTCGATAGAAGAAGATACAACGCGTGCATCGTGTAAAATATTCTTTTCAAAAAATATGACGCAAACTTGGATTGGAAAATAAAAGATAAGTACTAAAGAAAGTGTCTTAAGGAGAAGTAGGTGGGGACTGGGATGCTGTCTCCTCCTTTTGCGAAGCAGTGATGCTAGCTAAGGAGGAGGCGGGACGCATGAAGCAGCGAAGCGCTGCCTCCTCGCAACCCAGCCATCGCGAAGGTCACTCCGGGATCGCGGAACGATTTCCGGCCACGCACCGTAAGCGCGGGCCTGCGGACGGTGAGCATGGGTGACTTGCCGGGGTATTCCACTTTGCGCACCTAAATGAAGCGCACCCAGACGAAGCGCACCTAAAGTATTCCAGTTTGCGCACCTGTAGGTGCGCTTAAAATAAAAATTTAAATAAATAGTTTTTCTATTCCACGAAGCGCACCTACGAATATCACTCGCATAGTGCGGAGACTAAGAAATAAAAATATCGATATAAGAACATATTTATTATTTAAAAGACTAACTTAAATTTCTAACATCATTCAGTTTCATTATAATAATGTGACACAATATTGATATTTGTCCATGTTTTTATTGTAATTATGAAACAATCTGTGATTTTTTATGTTAAAGTAGAGTATTTTTATTGTTCACTAAACATGTAGCTATAAGAAAACTTCAACAGATCTTTATGTAAAACCATATTTACAATGTTTTTTCATATTTGTCCATGTTTTTATTGTAATTATTAAACAATCTGTGATTTTAAATAGTTAGATTACAAAATCAAAATGACAAATATTGTGTCACATTATTATAATGAAAATTATAATGAAAAATTATTATTAAAGTATTGTTAATTTATTATTAAATTATTATCTGTGACTTTTACAAACTCTATTTTCGTATGCAAGACACGTCATATTATGATACATAGAGTAGGTATCGAGCAACTAGTTTTGTACGGACGTGATTGACTTTTGAGTTATAAGTGAATGTTTTTGTTGACTCGAGAGAGCTCGGTCCTTCCATTCGGGACGTTAGCTTGCACAACAGTTATGTCAGTGCGAGCTACAACTATGGCCTACTGTAAAGTAAACGGTACTATAACGGCTAAGTAATACAAAGTGAGGTGTAACAGTCGCCGGAACCAATCGGTAACGGCCAGTCGAAAATATCTATATTATGTTGGTATGTTTTTTTTATGGAATAGGAGGCAAACGAGCAGACGGATCACCTGATGGTAAGCGATCAGCGCCGCCCATGGACACCCGCAACACCAGAGGAGTCACAGGTGCGTTGCCGGCCGTATGTCACTCATCAAAGGAAAAAACAGACTCCAAAACCTCGAAAGGCTAATTCGATATGTGGGTTCTATCTACCCGTTTCCACTAATAGCTTGAAATTCGGTGTCACACCGACTTCCTACGACTGTGCTGCAAGTCCTAAAGACGTTGAGTTAAAATTATTTGCTAAAGATGGGTCTTTTGTAACGAGTACCTACGTTAGAAGTATCTTAGGTGTGTATTGTTAAGATAGTATAAATATTTGTTTACTTAGGTGTTTTAATTCCGCAGAAAAATGTCAGACGAACTACAATTGTTCAGCAGTATCCACTATGGACACGATAACTTCACTTACTGGTGTGGTTACTGTGCCTGATGACATTCCAACGGTAAAAACTACAATATATTCTGATAAGCACGTCTTTATCCTTTGGGTATTGTCACTCGTTGTGAGCTGGTTTTAGTCTGTGGGCTAGATAATAGATGAGTGTTCATTTATGTATCTGCTTCTTATTTAATTTTAGATTTTTTAATGCTGGAATTGCTATAATACTTCTAGTGTTTTAAACTGTCAAACACCGCGAGGACACCGGTGACAGCAACCTATTGTTCTTTAATTGTGACTATAATGAAGGTACTCAAAGGGTTAATACGTGAGCCAGTATATATACTCTGGGATATTAAATTATCTATACCAATGAAGCAATTACTTTTACAGAGCGTACGTGGTTTCATGCATTGGCTCACAGAAAGTGAAGGACAACCATTGCTGTGTTTCTCCGTGAGAGTAGCAACTCAAAGGATTGAACAGAAACGTTTGCGGGATCTCTTCAATTTATACAAATATGACACGGAGGAGGTACCATCTTCTGACAACGAAAAATTGGTTAATCCATGATTGATATTTACTGTAACGTGCACCAATATATATTATGTACAAATCCACCCAATATAGATATTATAATAAAGTATTTTATACGTATATCTAGTATACAGTGCCGAAGTAAACACGTCACAACAGGTCCCTCTCAAAAAAGGACTCTATATTTCCAAATTTAACTTACTCCTCTCACCTCTATATGATAAAATAATGAAAAGGTTATCAGATGTGTATCTAATATTCAATAATTTCTACATTAACTAAAAATCGCGAGTTACTCACGTGAACATACTGAGAAAATCTCTACCAGTTTCGAACCACCGAGGGGTTCTTCCTCATGAGCAGCTTGCACGGTCAAGGCAATGTCGCGCAACCTACTGATGTCATTTAGTTGTGTAAACTGCGATTTTTAGTTAATTTAGTATGTCTCACGATCGTTATTATAAAAACAATTCATTCATTGCCTAACTACCATGCCTTATTAAATGAGGTTGGTTAATAAACTGTACCTCTACATTAATTATAATGAAATTAAAATAAAATGATTATTTTTGGTTCATAGTAAGAACCTATAGCAGATTAATGATAATAGATGTAGGTGCCTACTTACACTTACCGTGCCGTTCGCTGAACCTACATACTAAATCCGGCACTGCTTATCACTTTTGTTACCCTCTCCATATGTACTTTTTACCATGTATATTACCTATAATAAGTTTAGTCTTCAATTTTTTATTTTGTTGATTTTATTATTTTTCTTGTGACGTAGTTTTACTTAAACGGCCTAGCCCTCCGATAGTATTTTAATTTTTATTGTTAGTATGTACAATATTATGTAAGATAAGAAGTTTTTTTATAACGGAGACCGCGTAGGAATATTATTATTACACAGTAAATGAGATACTCAATAAAAATTTGGTACCTAACTATTTCTTAACGTTTATTTAATATTATGTACGTATTAGTACCTATACCTATTTACATATTGTGTATATATAAATAAATAATTATACTTTTTTACACATATTTTTTTTAAATTATACATATAACAGTGTACCTATCTAATAAATTGCAAAAAAAACTAATAGAAACAAATTCGTGCATGCCTATAGAAATGATTTTGATCTAGTCTACTTGCTGATTTAGTTGTAGTTAGCGGTATGTATTATATGATATGATTATATTTAATTAAATAAAGATACTGAATATTTTTATTTCGTTTTTCTAAGGCGATTTTATTTAAAACAGCAATCTAATACTTAGATACTCCGGAACAATACAAGTGACACCTTGTGGAAATGATGTCATCTGGGTTTTTGGGAACTCCCAAGCCTACATAACTATGTAGGCTTTCTTTAATTGTCAACCATACTTGTTGCTTTAGTTACTGGTCCCACGTTAGTCCCTGTAACTATGTTAACAACAAATTGGCGAAAAGGAAACGTATATTCAATTCAAATAGTACCTACACATGTGCGTACCCTTTTGGCAACTTAAGCCTGTGCGATATTATGCTAACTAATTTCTGAAACAACTGTCAATCTCAGCGGAGACTAATCAACTAAGCATGAAATAATGCTTAAAGTGCAATACCTAGGTAGTGCTACGTCCACAAGTGTGTGTGTTTGTGCTCGTGTGTGTGTGTGTGTGTGTGTGCACTGGTAAATTAGTCTTCCTCACTTCTATAATGCGATGGGACAACAATCTGACACGTCTGAAAATCAATAATGGCACCATAGCCGTTAATTTTAATGTGTAAGTAAAAAGAAAATTAATAACAATTTTAAATATAATAATACCTAATAAATTAATGTTATTGCGTTTAACTTCACATGTTTTACGAAAGCTAATAAAATGTTATGACATATTATATCACTCGGATACAGTGTCTATCTAAGTGACTTAACTATAATTACAAAACCAAGAAACAACAATACCTAAGTTTTTAGGATAGTGTATCCAAAGGTTATCCAATGCAACCCCGCTGTTATTTACATTTATTTCAACAAACAACAATAATGTAAACAATCAAAAATAAAACAAGTCGACGCTCGCTGATACCTAACTGTGTACGACTTGATAATAAACTAATAAATAATACCTACGTTAAACCTAAGTTGTTATAATTTGAAAATGAAATAGCAGTTACTTTAATACTTTGATAAGATGAATTGTTATGTTTTCGGCTTACTCACGTAAGTAACTGTTGGACGAGGAACTCGATTAGTTCCAAGCCATGCTAGAGCCATATTCATGAGCAGCATTCCGCGACCCGCGACCGCGACGCGGCGACGGTCGCGCTGCTACTCCTAGCATGGCTTGAAATTGAAACTAGTCAAGTTCCTTGTCAAACAGTTACGTGAGTAAGCTTTAAACATAATAATTAATTTAATATGTCTCACGAAAGTTTTAATATAAACGTTTGATAAGATGAATAAAAACTTTACTTTTTCTTTTAAGTTTTCACCAACCTATAAGTGGCACCTAACAACACCTACAAGTAGGTAAGGGTTAGTTTAGGTGCTACATCACGCTGAGTAATTTTTAGTGAGATGGTTTAGGGGTTGTTTTTGAAAAAGAACCATTAGTATGTTTTAAAATCCTTACTTTAGAAGAGGGCGCCTTTAAGGACCCGCCCCAAATTACAACATCATCATAATACGAGCCACAAGACATACATACACACTGTCACTTTTGAACATAGGAGATCTCCAAATGATTTCTAGATCGTCCGGTTGCAACTAGCTACTAATGACTTTGAATTGTTTTCCTGCCAGAATAAGATTTACCTGCTGCAGACTGCTCCACTGTTAGTGCCAGATTGAGGTTTGTAGCGTAGCAACGCTACGCGTAAAATAAGGCCCGCTTACCTGAACCACTAGAACATCAGAGTAAAATTGGGTGTTTTTGCTTAATTTTGTAATTTCAAGGACTTCGTGCATGTTGCCCAGGTGGAGTGAACATGATAAAGCCTAATAGGTACCTATGACAATAAATACATAGGACTTACGCATGTTACCCAGTGAAAGATTGGTAAGTACCTACCTATTTGTGTCTAGTACATTCTATGTATAATGAGATACCTAATTATGTGATAAGTAACTACTTATTTACCTAAGTTTTCTGAGTTCATTTCTCCCAGAATATTTTTTTAAATAGCTATGTATCTATAATTAATTACTAAACTGATGGAGTTTGAAATTTAAAATAGTACCGTACCGTAAGTAAATTGTTTATTAATTATTCAACTTGAGATGCGGTTTACCGTGACACAGCACAGACATCACCGTAGAGAGTTAATTAAACAAGTCACCTTATGTATTTATAGATACATAGGTAGGGAATTTACTCAGCGATAGAGAATAGATTTTCTTTTATTTTTATATAATACCTACATGAGTTTCTGACTGCTACTGTTGTGTTTGTTGTCCAAAAGTGAGGATTAACTTAGTAAGTGCCTACTGCCTATACATAAATTTACCTTCTTCTTATTTAGACAATAGAATCATCTGAGAAGTGAGAAATAAGATGCTAAACCAAGATTTAATACAACTAACTTGCGTCAAACACCCGATTTTGCCCCCACACTAGCACTTTCTTATCGTACCTAGGTGCCACTCCAAACACATAATTTCATATAGGTACACATCACACCTAAACCACGCACAACCATTTGTAGATCAGTCTGGATCACACAGACTTCTTCAGTGCGGGAATCGAACCAGGGACCGCTACGCGACGTGTCACTACTGCGCTGCGGTAACCGAGCAGTCAAGTACTCATTATTGGCAGTTTAACAAACTTCAAATTATCAAACAGAAGTGGGCTAAACCTTAAATAGATTCTTGAAATTATTCATAACCTAAGTAGGTATCTACGTAGCTAGCTACCTACTATTGCAATCATAAAAACAAGATGATTTCCCAAGGCAAAGTGCTAATGCAAAAACTTGCTTTTTCTTACATGCTATGTAAGAAAAAGTTTATAATTGTACAGGTATGCATTTAAAAGACAATCAAATTGAATCTGTGTTTAAATATTAGGATTGACTACATTTCTACGAAGCGACACCGAACAATGCCCAATAACTCACAGGCGATGCGATGGCGTAGACAATTTATTGATTTCGAACAATACTACGTACGTTATCCCTATATCTGCTGCATATCTCATAAATTGTCTGAGTGTAGTGGCAGTATATAGCAGCACGCGACCACCACCACTCATACATTGGCACGCACGGTCGCAGTCAACACGTATCACTGTCCCACACGAGTCGTCGAGGAGATCGCGTAGTGTTTCCGCGGCGCAAGCGTTGCATTGTGTTCTCCTGCACGTATAAACTATACCTGCTCTCTGAGCGTGACGCTCGCGCTGCATCGTCGTCCGTCAGACGCCGCGCTAGACCGCAACTCAATACTCATCGCCAGACGCAACAATGGTCCCTCTCCGTGTAGTCGTGTGCTTCGCCCTGCTCGCGGCCGCAGCCGCAACCAACGTCAACCAATGTCCAGGTAATATTTCACTCTCTTTACATAAGCACTTAGAACGCGACCCGCTTTCGTCTCGTTTCGCGTTCACAGCAGAAATTATTGTTGTTATTTGCTAACGTATTGCGTTGTATTGCCCATGTTTATGACAATCCAGGTCAGTAAGACATAAAAGTACTACTTATGTTATGTTACAGTTTTTTTTGTATCACTATGCAGTACAGCGAAATTGGAATGCAGAGAGGACTTCTTTGTTTATTTATGTTGGTTACCTCTACTTACCTAAATAAAAGAACAACGCGATGAATTAAGATGAATTATGCATAGAATTATTTAAGAAGACAATTACCGGCATGAATGTAGCGTAACACGAGATGCATTAATTGTTCATCTTTATTAGATATCGTTACATTACCAAAACCGGTTCATCTGATGAAGCATCAGATGTAAATTTTTGTATTAATGTACATAGTACTACTACTACTACTACTACCTATGTATCTAACTAACTTCAACCTCGGATTATAAAATTACATAAACGAAATGGGGGATTAAAGAGATTAACGACGCGTCGATGCATCGTAATGCATGTGTGCACTGTACTTTTTTGTACTTTACTTAGTTATAAACCGTGTACTTATATATCGTTTTCGTCCCGTAGCAAAACAACTTGCCAGAATCTTTTTTTGTTTTTACTTTCGATAAATAAAGTAAAAATAAAAATATAAAGATGTCAATTTCGTTTTAGATTCTAAATATATTCATCTACACATGAGACCAGACCCGACAATTTACACCAAATTTGTAGGCACTATTTGCATCGCACGTGCCACTCGGCGAGAATTACCTTTCGAGATTACATGGCGTGATGTTTTGATAATGTACTATGGGTTCTATAGAGGTATGTTCGTATCTATGAATTCGTGTGCGCTTTCGAAGTTTGTTCTTTGCAATAGCTCACCAGAAATTTTTGTTTTAAACATTTTATTTCTTTGTAAAAGGAGACAGAACCATTTTATTTCGGTACGCAAACGATATAAATTTACGGTGTATTAACAATATTAGGAGAAAATAATATCAATCAATTTGTACAAATATTTATAAGAAGACAGATCAACTTGTCTAGAGTAAATAATATCAGTTCGACCTATGCCCTCGCTTTGTAATCCTATACAAGTAGGAATTTGTAAACTCTATTGTTTTTATCGGAGAACGGAGCATAACGAAGACGTTAATTGACAATAAAGGAATAAAAACTATATATTTAAAGTTAATAAATTATCGTATGGCATCGAATTAGGTAAAGCAACAAATCAAATAATATGTTTTATTTTAATTTCTCGAAACCTCTTTGAAAACTCTATCATGCCTCGGGGTGGACGCACAATGGAGTACCAAGTACAAACGCACACTATTTAATAAGGGGTTTTTTTTGAGCACACATGGAGCAAGGCCCCTTGTCTGATTTTTAACACATGCATCAATTGCGTGTTTCATGTTTTCTACAGATAAAATACCGATGAAACTTTTCTTTCATGTGTCGAAACGTTTTAGCACCTATAAGTTTAATTATCCAATAAACAGATCAATCCTTTAGGTAGTTTACCTACAATTAGGGGTAAGTACTCCATAGTACGCCGTAGGATGTCACCGTTATGCCCCCATATTTAACATAATTTTTAGTAAAGAACAAAAAAAGTATCGTTGGAAAGAGTGGTTTTGTTTAAACATATAACTATAAATAAAGTTACTTAAAAACACATTAAAAACTGTATGTAATAATTGTAAACACTATTATTTTTATTCGTTTTCGTAAACATTCGAAATTAGATGAACCGACGTCAAAATTAATATTTTAATGTAAAAAATAAACGCATGAACTCTGGGCGTCGGGTCCCTATTTTATTGAAGACAGTTGTAAAATGGCCGCTTAATAGAAAAAAGAATAAGTGCGTAGTGTGCATAGTTACTTGCCCCATCGTGTCTCGGAGTCGTGAGTCCTCCCCTTTTCCCTACTTCTTATACCTACCCTACATTTTGATTTTAAAAACACAGCACACGTGTATAGTCTATCGAGAACTAATTTAAAAATTAATTTAAATAGCTAATTAGTTAAGTAATTTGAATTGAAATTCCAAAACCCATTAAAATTCATTTTTAAATTGGATGGACTAAGCTGTGAGCCGAGATGACCATACCTTACCAACTGTCCTTTTTTATAAAATTGTGAACGAACATAATTTACATATTGCTTACATAATACCTACCTAGTGTAAATATTATGTAACATTGACACGCTCATTATTCATGATTTATATATTTTCACCGACTTCATTGTGTGCATAAGTAGTCACAGCAAAAGAAATACAGAAAATATCTTTGTGTTATATAGAATTAATTGATCATTCATTGGATTTTTTAAATCACACTTCTATGTACAGAAAGCATGAGTAACAAGCAATCTTTATACTTTTACTTAAACTAGCGACCCGCCCCGGCTTCGCACTGGTGCAATATGCATGTGTAATGCATATAAACCTTCCTTAAGAATCACTCTATCTATTAAAAAAACCGCATCAAAATCTGTTGCGTAGTAGTTTTAAAGATCTAAGCACACATAAGGACAGACAGACGGTGGATAGCGACTTTGTTTTATACTATATAAGTAGTGATACATTATGTACAAATGGGTATAACATAATAAAAAATGTATCTAATGTGACCAATAAATTATATGCCGAGTCTTTTTATTACCTACCTACCTAGTTATCAGCTATCAGCTTGTTGCCTGTTGGTAATGACAATGAGTATGACATCTTAATACATTATTCCTTATTTATCTTTGTGGTTCGGAAATTGAACAATAGTCGATCGTGTAACCGCTTCTGTTAGTATCGTCAAGATACGTTTAATTAATTCCAAGTTAGCATTGTCAGTAGATGTTAAACAAGAACTTTAGCAACTATAACTTACTATAGCATAACACGATAGAACTAATATACATTTCCCTAGGTTCACGGCAAGGGCTGGCGGAGAGGACTTCAGACATAGAGTTAATTTATTGGATGTTGATGTAATTCATAGTACATTGTTACAGCCTTTACCCAAAGCAGCCATCTTGATATATAAAATAGTAAATTTAAGAGTAGTATTTAAGTAAATGTAAGTTTTGTTAAATGTTTAGGGAATGATGGGCCTGGCATGGTCTTTGTGTGCCCAAAAGAACCTTAAAATCTCCCCGAGGTCGGCCTAGGGAACATAGACAACATCTATAGATAAAACTCTTTCAATTAACATGGTGGTTACTCCTGTCAGACCATAAAAAGAAAATAGCGACCAGACCAAAGACGTTTAAACTTGCTTTTACCACGTACCCATCTATTAAATTTTATAGCTTCGAGAGAAGAGAACCTAATAGGTTTTGCGTTTAGTGGAAGCAATAAAATTAAATTAAATCGTCGTTCTTCAATGCAGCTACAACTAAACAGATGACCACGGAGTCTCAATAAAAACTGAATTCTACCTGATGATGCGAATAAGTAGGTTGGGAATTTGAAGAGTTGTTGTTATCTAATTCTCGATAAAAAAAAATATAATGCATAAAGTTTTACACATTCTTGTACACAGGGAGTTATCTATACTTATAATAAATCTGTAGAGAGGTCAATTCTGTACATAAAATATATTTAAAAAATAACTATCAAGGGGTGGTTAGAGATCGCTACTGATGCCAAAAATGCAATCAGTAAAATTTTTGTCTGTCTGTCTGTCTGTCTGTATGTTCGTTATGGAAACAAAAACTACTCGACGGATTTTAACGAAATTTGGCACAATTATTCTTCATACTCCTGGGCAGGTTATAGTATACTTTTTATTGCGCTACGATCAATAGGAGCAGAGCAGTAAAGGGAAATATTGGAAAAACGGGAGAAGTTACTCCATTTTTTAAGCTTCCGTCACGTGTGCAGGCTTATAGGTTAAAGCTACATAGAAATCATGTATGACGGAAATATTCTCCTTAAAATTATATAAAAAATATTCCTCGACAGCATATGTCTATCTTTTATGGCTGACTCACAATAACACGTGAAACTCCCGATAGCTGAGCAATTCGGTGATTTCTGATTGTATTTGTCTACTCTAACGTTTACAATACTCATTCATAGACTTTACGCTGTAACTGAAAGGCCAATGGTTGAAATTAGCTTGACTCGATATTATAAATGAAAATATGTGAGTTTATGTGTATGTTTGTTACTCAGTCATATTAAAACGAATGAAGGGACCGGAATGAAATTCGGAACAGAGGTAGATTATGGTCTGAAGTGATACATAGGCATTTTACCCCTGGGATCACGGGCGAAGCCGCTGGCAGAAGCTAGTATAGGAATATAGATATTATTCATTAGAACAGCAGAATATACACATATACCCAAAGTACTGAAACGCTTATTACAGTGAAACTTGGTTAAGTGGGACCTGGATAAGTGAGAAACCTCTATAACTGGAACTCATGCTGAGGTCCCAACACTTTGGCACTGAATAACCTCTGTTAGTGGGACGAGGTAAACCTCTATATATGGGATTAGTTCTTTCGATTTATCATCATAGTTACCTCTATAACTGAGACAGCGAGTAAATTTTATATGCATAAACCTCTGTAACTGAGATAACATTGTTTGTTTACTCATTCTTATTCTACCCACAAATTCCACACGTTATTCCAAGTCCACCTCTATTAATGGAACCCTCTGTAAATGAGACAGGTATATATTTATACCTGTATATCTGAGACACTGGGTAAGTGGAATACCTCTATAAGTGAAACGACATTGTAGGTCCCTTGATGTCTCACTTAACCAGGTTTCACTGTATTTGCAAGTTAGTCATGATAAAAAACTAATAAATTGAAATTGGGGTAAACCTAGATATTATTTATTATTATTTTCATATTAGAAAACTGGGCTTGCTCGAGTAAATTAAAAATTCAAAGTCACCTTGTTTCGGAACTTAGGTAGGTAATG